CTCCATTTTTGTCTGCACTTACCCGGTTTTCCTACCCTCAGAATGCAAATGGTTATGGGCCCAGAAGGTATCCTGGAAACCAATGGAACAGGCTGAATTTTGGCAGAGATGGGAAGAACTTCGAGCTATGGGATACAACGATGAGGAGGATGAAAGCACATGTAAGAATGAGGAAGCTTTAGCCAAACTAATTACATTTTTAGACAATAGTAGTCTGTGTTTAATAATGAGGGAGGAAACTGATGATGTGAGAAAAGCACTTTAAATATTAAGTGATTATCATGCAGGCAAGGGAAAGCCCATAATCAGTTTATACACCGAATTAACATCTCTTCAGAAAGGCAAAAATGAGAGTGTAACGGACTACGTTATAAGAGTAGAGACAGGCATTACAGCATTGAGAAAAACGGGGAAAACATTATGTGACGGATTGCTAATTGCAATAATCCTAAAAGGTTTGCCTGAATCATTTAAGCCAATTTTCAGTTCATATTAGGCATGGTGATGGAAAGATTCCCTTTGTAGAGTTTAAGGTGCAATTAAAAAGTTTTGAAGACACCGAAAAGTACTGTGCTAATTCAAATGATGATAGAGTGTTAAAAGTTAGCATTGTGACTTCTTAATTTAGAATGTTAGATGATTTATTACTTGTAACTATTGAGGCCAAAGAGGACACAGAGCCAGATCGCGCTCTGGTAGTCAAAATGGCGGTCAGTCACTGTGGTGTAACTACTGCGACAGTGTAACGTATAGATTGTAGGCACAAGAAAAAACATAATGTTAAACAAATGTTAAACAAAAAGGCCGACCCTGGGGCAGCATGATACAAAACTACTAAGATTAAAAAATTCAAAATCTTTGGTAGCACCTTTAGACCAGAGAAACACATCATAGAGTTTTCAGATGGAAAAAAGACAGCAGGTGTGACACTAAAGGCGGGTAACGCAGACATTTACCTACTTGACATTAATGGAAATCGGGTTCTAGCAACCTTAAAGAAAGCATTGTGTCTAGCTTCATACCCTCCAGACATTCTCTCGGTAAAGGAAGCAATAAACAATGGTGCATCAGTAAGCTTTAGACAAGGCAGAGGTGAGGTCATTTTTCAAAAATAGCACCATGTTTATAATTCAAAAATACCATAGACTTTGCTATCTAAATACTTTTGCCAAAAATGAAGTTAGCTGCCATGCATGTTACAATATTCAAGCTTGGCATGAAATTCTAGGCCACTGTGATTATGATGACATTGTAATGCTACAAAGTGTTGTAGTAGGAATGAAGATTAAGCATAATAGGTCAGGTTTTAACTGTAAAATGTGCGCTTATGGAAAATTTGTTCAAAGTAGAATCAGAGAGCCTGATGACAGAGCCACATCACCATTGGAACTGGTGCATACTGACATAGCAGGTCTCAGAGAACTACACAGAACAGAAGGTTTCAAATAAGTCCTGGCATTCGTTGATGAATATTCAGAAGTAGTATCTGTATACTTTTTGAAAAACAAAAGTGATGCAGTGTTAACCACTGCAAAATTCTTGCCAACACAGTCCCATATAGATCTGACAATGGTATTGTGTTCATAAAAAAATACACAAACAAGGTTTAGCATTAAAAAATACTGGTGAATAAGAGATATCAACCGAACAACCCATTAAGGAGCCTTTTTTTTTTTTTTAGGAGATATTGGTAGGGAGAAATGGGAATAGCGCCTTACTTAGATTTTTTTTGCATTGCACTAGATCAAGCATGTCAAATTCGCAGGCCGCATGCGGCCCACAATGAATATCTTTGAGGCCCAGCAAGCCGCGAGTTTGGCATGTTAAGGCAGAGTAGGCATCTGCTCTCCCCACATTGCAGGTGCCTACTCTGCTAAAATTTACCCAGCCGGAAGGAGAGATTGCTGGCAGCAGCGAGGGAGCTCAGTTTGTTCTTCCTGCTCCTCACTGCTCACGCGCAGACGCACCCTCTGTAGTGATGCCAGGTGCCTGAATATGACGTCATTCCGGTCCGGCATCACTAAACTGCGTGCGTGAAGGAGCAGTGATGAGCAGGAAGGGTGACCTCCAGAGAGAAGATCCCCACACCAGCTTCCAAAGGTAGGGAACAATAAATAAAATAATTTGTGAGTGTGTGCAAGAATGTGTATATGTGTGTGTCTGGCAGTGTGTGTGTTTGTGTGTCTGTCAGTGTGTGTGTGTGTCTGTCTGTCAGTGAGTGTGTGTGTGTCTGTCAGTGAGTGTCTGACAGAACAATTCCACATAAAAAGAAATCATCTATGAGTATGTATGTTCAGGACCAAGTTTGCTGTCCAATTGTGGCTAGTCCACATGACTGTATCTTCCCAATCTGCATTAATAAACTGGCGCACATGGGGGCAAATTGGGTTCCCATAGCTATGCCTTGTGTTTTTAAAAAGAAGGACTTGTAAAACCTAAAATAATAGTTTTTTACAATAATTTTTGTTCCTTCAATAATAAAATCTATTTGTTTTGTGGGGATTTTCCCATGTCTTTCTAAAATATTCCTGACTGCTCCACAGTATATGTTGTGAACAATAATTGTATACAGAGGGACTGTACATCACTTGTAACTAGGATAAAATTAGGATCCCATTTCAGATCTTTAAGGTGCCGTTGTAGGCTTATACTGTCCTTTAAGTAGGATTTCAAATTTTGGACGACTGCTCCAGCACATGTACGTGTAATTTCATTCACCTACTATAAATGCTCATATGATCCAAATCTGCTATGCTATATAGCATCTATTTTTGTTTTTATTGCATATTTTGGATCACCAACCTGAACCAAGTAATACACTTCATATCCTTAACCCCTTAAGGACACATGACATGTGTGACATGTCATGATTCCCTTTTATTCCAGAAGTGTGGTCCTTAAGGAGTTAAAGGACCACTATAGGCACCCAGACCACTTCAGCTTAATGAAGTGGTCTGGGTGCCAGGTCCATCTAGGATTAACCCTGCCTGCTGTAAACATAGAGAAACTGCTATGTTTACAAATGGGTTAATCCAGCCTCTAGAGGCTGTCTCATTGACAGCCGCTAGAGGCGCTTCTCACTGTGAATTTAACCCCTTCCCAGAGGGGACCCAGAGGGTGACGGGGACCCAAGGACAATATAGAGCCAGAAAAAATGTTTTCCTGGCACTATAGTGGTCCTTTAAGCATGGATTGCACTGTTCAAACTCATCAAATTGGAGTTTTTTCATAGCTCCATTTCCCATAAGTTTATCTCTTTTTCCTCTAGATTCCAGTTGACAAATATTCTACACTATGTTGTTTGCTGAAGACACTGTGTTAGCGGTGACCACACAAGAAAGTTTGTACCCCTTGCAGTTACTCAGGGAAATAGACAACCAATAAAAGTTGTTTCTTTTAACGTCTACTAAATAGTGTGCACCCAGGATTTAATCAATTTATTTTAATGGACAGCTAGTAGATGATCATAAATTAGTCACATTTGACATTTTTCATCAAATTTTTTTTATCAAAGAAACAAAATGTAAAATGGTGTTATTTTTAAACTTTCAACAACACTATTTATAAAATATAAACCTGGTAAGCTAGGCACACAAATATTAATAGTTTTTTCTCTAATGTCATCCTTCTGTGTACATTTTAGTTATTTTTCATGATTTTTATTTTTAAATGAGACAGAAAATTGCATTAGGGACTCAATGGTAGGGAAAGGGTGGATAGTTTTGCATTCATTAGGATGAACCTGGGCACACCTGACATACCTCTTGTTTATGCCTACAACAGTAGCCCCATACTACTAAATGAGAGATGGAGTTAGCGACAGCTGATAATCTAGATGTTAATAATATCTACAATGCAAAATGGCAAAAAGTTCTAATTAGTCAGTTCCGTTCTATCTATGTTAAAGAGGAAAATATGCTGAACCTAGGGTTTTCGGCACCAGGGGAGGAGTTGTTTGTCTGCACCAACCTTGGCGGGTCATCTTGTATCCAATGACCATCCCTTGCATGTCTCACTACTGTCCCTGTACGCCTTCCGTGTCCCTTGTCTCTTTGTGTTTCTCTTAACTCTCCTTGATCCTCTTGTATCTCTTAATCCCCTAACTGTCTTTGTGTCTCTTAACCTGTTGTGTGTCTATTAAAATCCCTCACCCATTGTCTCTTAACTCCCTCACCACTTGTGAGTCTTGTAAACCCCTTACCCATTTTGTCTTTTTTTTTGAGAATTTTTTATTTTTTTTGTGCAGATGGTTACAGGATATCGACATACGCCACAACAGCGTGATTCAAGGTTTACAGAAGTTAGGCAGTGGCATGAAATTTCGCACATTTTTATATATTTAGAACAAGCTTGGTTAAACGAGATATTGTGCATATTTTTGTCTGTTAGCATGAATAATAGTCGATTGGGTGTCGTTTATATAATCGTGTTGCTATCAGTTAGATTGAGGTTGTGTGCACATTTTAAGATGCAAGAATGTTAACCCTATTATACATAAAGATTGGTGTCTGATTTGCATGACAGTTGGTTGTGTTCAGGGTGATGTGTAATGTATGGAGATATGCCCAGTGGGTTACAGGTCGATGGGATTGCATCTTATAGGGCGGCCAGCCAAATATCTATGTATAGTTAACAAGATGTTGTATGTCCCAGGGGCAACAAGATGTTGTATGTCCCAGGGGCAGTATGATGTTGTATGCCCCAGGGGCAGCAAGATGTTGTATGCCCCAGGGGCGCGCTAAACCTCTAATTAAGGGAGGCAATGGTACATACGTGGTTAGGAAGGTAGCCCCACCATATATTGCTTGGTATTCGTTAAGCTAGGCTAGGTAAAAAACATTATGCTCACAGACATTTATAATTTGTTATAATGCGTTGGTTTACAAGTTCTGCTTGTTGCCCCGGTTGGTATGTTGAGGCAGGCGTGGAGCATTATTATCCCGTAGAGCCTAGTATCATGGTAGTCTGTTGTCGCTGTCATCTGTGCCTTGGTAAAAAAGTTAATCATTTTCGGGTACACCGTTGATGAGGTGACGCCAGGGTAGTGGAGTGACACGGGTTCTTGGTTCTCTGTTGTGTTGAAGCTGTGTTGCTTTGCGGCGTCTTCCATGCTGGTTAAAGTGTGGTTTTCCATGAGTGGTGTGCGGCTCATTGTGTGGGAGACCTGCTCCCCGGCTTGTCTGGGATGCAGGTGTTCGCTTGTGTGCCTTCAGTGTGATCCCTTGCGGTGCGGGTACTGGTTTGCAGTGCCCCCGGCTTTTCCGCATGTTTTGGGCCCGCCTTGGAGCTGGGGTCAGAGCACCGGATCGTGTCCCAGAGGGTATGTGTCTTGTCGGGGCACTTTGCTGTGAGTTTCCCTTTGGTTGTTTTGGGTATAGGGCTGGCTTGAGCTTGTGAGCGCTTTGTGTAGTGGGCGCTAGATTGTTGCAGGCCCTCTCGGTGTCTTCGGCCGCCATTTTAGTTGAGGTGCTTAGGCTACAGCTCGCGGTAGTGAGGCTGCTGTTGGGTCTTGGTTGGCTTGTTGTTGTCGTGGCCACTGGGTTAGGACCGAGATCACCCCCGCCGGTCCAGAGGGGGGGGGAACAGGGCCAGTTCTCCGCCGATCCGGGCCCCCGGCCGAGTGCTGCTGGGCAGGATAGCGGTGCAGCGGCCGTCTGCTCCGCTCACCGCCTGAGAAGGCCCCATCATGGGGCCTGTAGCTTGAAGAGCCAGCCTCTCCCTGGGTCCAGTGCCCCTTTTGCTCTGAGGACCCTTGCTGTCGGTCTGTAATCTCATGGAGAGACATGGTTTTTGAGGGTAAAGAATGTTAGTTTGCAGGAGCTGCTCGTGTTTACGACCAATCAGCTCGGCGGTCCGGCCCTGCCCCCCCATTTTGTCTTTTAAGACTCTGTTACCCTTATCCAACCTTCTATATTAGTGTGGCCTCACAGGACCGCAGTAGAGGATTTTCATGTGACACATAAACATCATACAAAGTAAATAAAAAATGTGGTGTCTTAATGTTTAATGTCCTCAAATAACATTACAAGGGTAACTCCCAGAATTGGTTTGGGTTGACTTCCTTCCTTCCTGGCATTACCTTTTTTTGATCATCATAATTTTTACCAATTGCTATTGAAACACTCTAGTTTCTTGTAGCCAATATTTATATATATATATATATATATATATATATGTTTATCAGAATACAGATGTTTGCATTGTCGGAAAAAAAAGGAAATCAAGTAAATCAGTTGTACATTTACCAATATTAGCGCTAATAAAATAGTGGGAGATAACTGCATAGGAAACCATTTAACAAATGAACCAATAATATTAAAAGCAAAATCTACGCCTCTTTATGGTGTGCATTCATTGGTCTTTGACAAATGTTTAAAACTTTGAAGAATTACCTTTGCATATCAATACATGTGGATGCAGTTATAGAATTGTTTAAAAGGGAATTGAAAGTGATTTTTTGGGGGGGGGCAAAACAAATTCTAAATATTCCCCAAGTCAACTTTGTTTTCAATCTGGCTACTTGGCCTTAAATTTGAAATTCAGTTTGATTTTTGAACAATTCACATTTTACTGAAAAGTCCTGTGTGATGAAGGTTAAAGTGCATGCCATGTGTTGTTTAGCCACACGATGGAGCACTTGCACAGTTCTGGTAAAAAAAATACAAAGAATTTAGTTGAATAGTTGTTTGCATCTTTCCTCCATCTGTGGATAAATCCTGAGAGCTATCGGGTCAGACTTGCCACACACGCTCGGAATGAGTTTTGTTTTTAATTGCAAAAACTGTCATTACCAGTGAGCAATGTTGAGACATTTAACTTTGTTTCTCATCCGAGATTGTTTTATTGCATGTTATCTCAACACTTGTTTTAAACCACTAGATAAAAATCACATGGGAATATGGCAGACATCATTTAAAAGAATATGGGATTAGGAAGAGTTTATCAGGATATGGACTTTGGGACTTGCCCCCGAGTATGCCCAGAGGGATCACCCCAAGTCCCCCATCAAGGATAAGTCAATGAAGGGTGTATTTACAGTGGATGTAGTGTGTGAAGTGGATCCATTGTCTGTGTTTGTGCTGTGGAAGTACTGTGTGTAGTGGATGCATTGTCTGTGTCTGTGTAGAGAAAACAGTGGATAGCATGTGGTCCAGCATGCTTGCATGATGAAGAGTGGACCTGGGAGTCTCATTTTCCACCGCCAGCGTATCATTGACATGGCAACATGCGGCAACGCTCTGCCAGACATGGTTTGCAATAGGATACTGGAGGAGGTAAATTCTGGAGTCTCATGGGCTCTCTCTTCTCTATTTTACACAGCAGTGGCCCACAAGTGAAAATATATATATATATATATAAAAACAGGGGGCTGCACTCACCTGAACATGTATAAATGGGGTGCCCCATCTTATAAATAAAAAAACGAATAAAATCTGTCAACATTGAAGTTGCTGTTTAGTGGATAGGTGAGTGCGCTGGATCTTGTGTATTGTATAAATTGGCCCCCAGCAGCACCCCATTTATGCATGTTCAGGTGAGTGCAGCCTCCTGGTTTCATTTATATATATATATATATATATATACATACAAACATTTGGGAGTCTAGCCAACTCCTTGGTTTTGCACCCCTCCCTGTCACAGATGCCTCATCCCAGGGACCTATTTAGCCTTGTACTGTAGAGAACTCGAGATGGAAGGATTTCCCCAAGTGAGTAGCTCATTTAGCAGATATTTGGCTGTTAGAGTAGGACCTTCCAAAATGGGGTACATCGACATTGTCGTAGGCTTATGCAATGTATGATCATATAATGTAACTAAACCCCCATTATTTTTGCCTAGATTAGGTGTTTCTTTAAAAACAAAACTAATAAAATCTGTCAACATTGAAGTTGCTGTTTATTGGATAGGTGAATGCGCTTGTGTATTATATATGTATTTATACATAGTAATACTTGTTATATAAATATGCACATGTGGGGTAAAGGACCCAGGCACACTGCACCCCCTGGTGGCTTGGGCCCTGTACAGCTGTAGTGGCTGTTCTCCCTGATGGCAGCCATGAGTGATTTTGGTTGTTGGTTAAGTGCGTCGAGTTGGCTGACAATGGGGTGACTGAGCATTATTGCATGTGGAAGCTGTATGAGTGTGCTTGTGTTTGAAGTTGGCTGAGTGTAAGGATGGGTGAGTGTGATTGTGTGTGGTTGGCTGAGTGTGATTGTGTGTGAAGTTTACTTGTAATAAAAAAAAGTGTGGTTGTGTACGGAGTTGGCTGAGTTTGATTGAGTGTTGGGTTGTCTGAGTGTGATTGAGTATGAGGTGTGCCTGAGTGTGATTGTGTGTGAGGTTGGCTGAGTCTGATTGTGTGAGGGCGTACATTATAGATACAATTAAGCTTATATTTATTAGTACCTCCAACAAATGCAATACATACATACACAGAGACTGCTGAATACATTCACACCGACTGCTGAATACATTCACACCGACTGCTGAACACACGCACACAGACTGCTGAATAGACACACACACAGACTGCTGAATACACACACAGTCAAATTGATGGATACACAAACAGGCAGACTGCTAAGTACACACACAGACAGACTGCTGAGTACACACAGACAGACTGCTGAGTACACACAGACAGACTGCTGAATACATACACACAATCCGCTGAATACAAACACACACAAACATACACACACACAGACTGCTTAATACATACATACAGACTGCTGAATACATACACACAGTTCACTGAATACACACACACACACAGACTGCTGAATACAAACACAGACTGCTGAATATACACAAAGACTGCTGAAGACACACAGATACTGCTGTATACACAAACAGACTGCTGAATACACACACACTGCTAAACACACATACATAAACTGCTGTATACACAGAAAGACTTCTGAATACATACAGACTGCTGAATACACACACACTGCTAAATACACATACAGGGACTGCCTTACAGGTCAGCCCTGGGTCCTAGCTCCCTCTCTTCCTGATCGAAGAGCCCTTGGGCCGGTGAAGGAGATCTCTGATCTCCTTACCGGCCCGAGGGGGTCCACGGCCAGAAAACAAGGTCGCCTCTCCATTGGCCGGCACGGAAGATCAAAGGATCTCCTCTGTCGGCTGGGCAGTGCGGCGTGGCCCCCATGCCTGTGGGGAAAGACGGCCCTGTCATTAGCAGGCACAAACACACAAGCTCACTCACTATCAGCCACACACATACAAGCTCACTCACTAGCAGTCACACACATACAAGCTCACTCAATAGCAGCGACACACACACACAAAAAAAATCACGCAAGCTAGCTCAATAGCAGGCCCACACATACAAGCTCACTCATTAGCAGCGACACACACACACAAAAAAAATCACGCAAGCTAGCTCAATAGCAGGCCCACACATACAAGCTCACTCATTAGCAGCCACACACATACAAGCTCACTCACTAGCAGCCACATGCGCACACACACGCTCACTCACTAGAAGCCACACACAGATACACACAAGCTCACTCACTAGCAGCCACACACACACACAAGTTCACTCACTAGCAGCCACCCAGCCACACACACACACACACAAGTTCACTCACTAGCAACCACACACATACAAGCTAACTCACTAGCAGCGGCACACACACACACACACAGGTTCCCTCACTAGCAACCACACACACAAGCTCCCTCACTAGCAGCCACACACACACATACAAGCTCACTCACTAGCAGCCACACACACACACACACACACACACACAGGTTCCCTCACTAGCAGCCACACACACACAAGCTCCCTCACTAGCAGCCACACACACACATATACAAGCTCACTCACTAGCAGCCACACACACACAAGTTCATTCACTAGCAGCCATACACACACAAACTCACCGACTAGCAGCCACACACACACACTCAAGTTTTCTCACTATCAGTCACACCCACACCCACACAAAACTCACTCACTAGCAGCCACACACACACACAACTCGCTCATTAGCAGCCACACACACAAGTTCACTCACTATCAGGCACACATATGTTTGTTTTGAGTGCACATCATATCTATGAATGAGCGGATAATGACAGCCATGTGCAATATTCAGCAGATGCAGTATCTCACAAAAGTGAGTACACCCCTCACAATTTTGTAAATATGTTATATTTTTTCATGTGACAACATTGAAGAAATTACAGTCCGCTACAATGTAAAGTAGTAAGTGTACAGCGCAGACTGTGGGCAGTGTGAACATTTGTGCTAAGTATGGTACCCCCATAACTTGCAATCTATCAATGCTGTCCAAGGTTTGACAGCTTTGGATAGTATCAGAAATAGATAGGACGTCATACTTCCAAGTGAAGAGGCGGGAGATGAGGAAAGCTATTTAAAATAAAAATAAAAAAATTGTCTCAAACAGTTTGGCAGTGTGACTAATACCACCATAAACACTAAATACATTAAAAAAAAAGAATCTTATGCCATTACCATACCTCGCAACCATCCCGATTTTGGAGGGACAGTCAGGATGTTCAGGTCATGTCCCACTGTCCCGACTTCTCTATTGTTTTGCTTTTAAGGGCACTAGGGAATTGTCACCAAAAAGTGTAGCACAAGTGCATCATTAGATGCACTCACGCGGCATTTAGGGTATTAGGACCTTGCGGAGGGCACAGAAGCAGTTTTCTATGCATGGTATGCATTCATGCCAGGTTGACCTGCGGATTCGGATGGGTCTACCCGTTAGGGCGGAGCCAGTGACGCAATCACTGGCCTGACCTGTTTACCTCGTCTTGGGATGCCAATGTTTGGGGATATGCATTACAGAGAGAACTTAAACCATGTGCATATCAAACTTATCACATCAAAAAGACGGTATGCTGGCTCCTCTGTACGAGAGATACAGCCCAGACGATAGTTTCAGCCTTCTAAGACCTTGTCACACTCTGAAGAGGCCAAACTATGACTAAAGCTGAGTTTAGGGAAATTTTTCCAGTTTAACTATTTTATCCTAAATGTTATCATTTGTTATTCCGTCCACCGCCATCACTAGCGTGTGATTTTCCAGCAATAGAAAGAGAATTTAAAATTTTAGACCAGAATAACCAAATAAAAAAAATATGGATGACTTTTTTTTCAATTTGACTAAAATTTTAATTTCTCTACAACAACACTTCTTCTGCAAAAATGTTGCTGCAACTACTTAGAGTAAACACTTTGAGGTATGTTCAAAAAAAGAATTTTAGCAAATTGAAAAAAAAAATGATTTAAAAAAATTCCAACTCAGCAATAGTCACAGCTGGGCAATTTTAGCCTTAATTATGCCATTCACATTGCAAATGGCTACCACTCAAAGTTTAGCCCCCCAAAAAACACCCTATAGTGCAATGTAAAACTTTTCTCACAATTCTCATTTTATTGAATAACTTTCCTAACATTTTTTTTATAAATTTTCTTTTACGTTTTTTTTTTAATAAAAAAAGTATTCATTTTACTGAATAATTAAAAACCACAAAAAACACAAGCATATTTATAGGCACTATACTATATGCATAAATTCATCTTGCAAAGTCACCTCAATTTTTTTTTATTTTTTATTATTATGCATTTTAAATTAAAAAGGCAGAACCTGCCTTGCAATAATAAGCACTGCGCGTGCGCACAAACAATACCTCTCGCATGCGCGCCAATAGCATCCGGACGGTTTTCCCCCTCCCTCGCGCATGCGCAGACGCTCAGTCCAGTCCCAGCGATGACGTAGCGAGGGCTGCACCGTTGGGACGCACGCGCAGTGCGCCCAGTCAGGTCTCTTGCGTAGGATTTAGCTGAATCCCGCGCCGCTCGCTGCTAGGCCGCACTAGCTCGGTGTGACCGTACGGAGGTGTCTGTAGGCCCGAGACCCTCGATAGCCTGACTGAGCAGGACCCCCTGACTCCTTCGCTGGCTCTTGTTGTTGTTTATTTTTATTTTTTTTGCCGTAGTTGGGGCCCGGTGTTAAACACTCGCCGCCCTCGGTCGGAAGTAGTAGCCGCCGCCGTCGTAGAGTTTTCGAAATCCTCTCTCTGTAAACTCGCGGCTGGGGTGCCCGTTCCCCTACCGTCCCGTGAGCCGTTACCATGGTAAAGAAGAACAGTATCCCGGAAAGGTGAGTATCAGGGGCTAAGGCCAAGGCCTTCAGCCCGGGGAGGGACTGACTGTACCGTGGGGAAGGTACTTACCGTTTCAAACAGCAATGGCGCAACGTTGGCCTAACTAGGGTGAGGGTGGCCAAAGCCAGACCCCCATATCTCTTGGAGAACTACAGATCCCATGATGCTTTGCCAGCATTCTAAATGGAGATGCGTCACGGGACATGTAGTGCATGGAACATGTGGGGCTTTACTCTGGCCTCCCCTTGCCCTAGGAAGCTGCTGTGCATTGTCTTAGAGTTATTTACTAAAGTGCGAATTATGGAATTCAGCATTCTACATAATGAGATTGAGTGCATATATAGTTCAGTTTGATATTTATTCTATGATTGCTAGTTTGGATATTTTGATTAAAGCTTGAATTCCATTTCAATTCACATTTTAGTGAATAACTTCCTTTTTTTTTAAAAATAAATAAAATAAAGTATTTGGTACTGTAGGCGCAGCAGCTTCCTCGCCAAAGTTGTGCTATTACTGAAGTAAGGATGACTCAGATATACCTATAACTTTATTATAAAATAAAAACAGACGTGAAGTTTTTGCCTTGAAATTAAATAAAAGCTGACAGTGCACCTATGATGCAAGCATATGGGTGCATTGTAAAAATAAAAAATTAGCTGTGTACAGGCTTGCCGTGTCCGCCATGTTTTCCTGGATGTATGTCATTATTTGGCAGTTCTTGACAAGAACGCTGTGCAGCATGTAAATGTCATATGGTGAAGAAATCCTAAGGACAATAGCCATTTTTTTTTTTTTTTTTTTTAATGGTAGCTTCCTCGTTCATCATTTGATTGCTACATGCTGTCCTTCGTGTGTAAAGGTTGTGTCCATGAAAACATGGTGGTATGGGAACCCTAGCTCCATGCAAAGCTAGCAAATATAGAGATCAAAAGATTTTAATTTTTGTTTTGAGGTAAAAGTGTATTATTGCGGCACTTAAGTGACGTACTGCAGCTCCAAAAATTAACATTGCAATCCTAAAAAGGGAACAACAAAGTGAGTATTTTATAGCGTTTTCTACTTCACGCATTTCAAGAAGCTTTAAAAAGAATGTGTTCCAGGTGCGTATGTACATGCCATTAAATGTGCAGTGCCTTTTATTGGGCACATACGCAATGTTTTGTTTTTGTTTTGCTTTGTGTTTTCTCTTTGCACTTTGAAAATATTATTTATAAAAAAAAAAAAGGTAACGTATAGCATAGTGTAAGACTGAAATACACTTTTACTTCTTTTAAGTTTATTTCTGTTTTTATAATAGAGGTGTAAACTTAATATAACCAGGGGATTTTGTTTGAAACCACAAGAAAGCATTCTTTATCAATGCAATTGTTTCTTGTGTCCCATTCTCGAAATATCTTTTAATCTATGTGTTTGCTAGCAATTTGTATAGAAAAGTTTAATTTAAATTTATGCCCTTACTCCCTTTTAAGGGTGACTGTAAAACCATTTTAAACAGAAGTTATCTTGTTTTTCAATTCTGCAATTGGCCAAATACAACATTTTATAATTTACCCCTATTATAATTTAAAACCTGCTTACAATTGTTTAGAAGCGTTTTATTCCTATATTAACCTAGCAGTTTAAATTGAAATTATATGAGCAATTTGAATCATTGTTCGTAGAAAAACCTTGTAATGGTTTATATTGGTTACCCTTTAAAGAAGACCAAATAGGGCATGTAAACCTTTTAATATGTAAGTTATAGTGACCAGTTTGACCTAAACATAAGACTTGCAAAGTAGGTTTCTTTATTTTTGTTTAAAATAATAATTTGAGGTTTGTATGGGATCTTTTGAAGTTCAAAATATGGCACAAATGCCTTGCTCATTTGACCCTTTGATAAACCTGTCCTAAACTGAGGCATATATGTTCTTGTGTAATTGTTTGGGCATTTACTTCATGGTGGGGGAGGTTGGACTTAATTACCTCATACAGGTAGGTATTAACCACCACAGGTGAGTATGGCCCATTATTTATGTTCATTCAGGAATTTTTGGAAATTGCATGACATTTATTGTGGTGGTCAAGGTTTTTTTTTTTTTTTTTTTAAGTGTTGTATAATATTCAATATTTTGTTACAGTGGGTATGTTGGTTATATGGTATTTTTATGCTAGTGTGGGGGTTTATGAAGTGTGAATACAGGAGAAACAAATGCACAAGTACTGTGCTTTCAGAAATCTTGGGTAAATAAAATGCACTTTAGAAGTTGCTCCCAAAAAAATGGCTTTGATTTATTTTCATAGCCATTACTGAATCTGTGATGAACATACCTATAGCAATTCACATATTGTTCTTTATTATACTTTGAGAAGTCTTGTCAGTATGAACAAAACTAGTCTCTTTTCTTTGAAACTCCTTCACCATTCTCTTCTGAAAATACCAATTCTTTCCTGACAGTGCCTTGGCTTATTGAATATTCTGAATCCCTTTTGACCTGACATTTAAAGAAACACTTTGTGCACCATAACAGTTTAACAAGTACAAAGTTGTTATGGTCCAAGTAGGTCCTTGATGTCAAAGGGATTTAACTGTTCACAAACCGATTAACTCCAAAGCCTCTGCAACAGTACCAGATTGCTATGTCTTTCATCTTACTGACGCTTCCTAAACCTTTTGATATGAAGGGTTTCGTAAAATGAAGAACGGTGTAGAATGATCCGGTCTGAAGCACAGACTTTGGGGTTAATCCGCTCATGAACAGTTTAAGCCCTAATGGTTAGCAAGCGCCAAGGACCCCCTGGAACTCTAACTTCATTTTAGTGATGTTGTTATGGTGTCTGAAGTTTTTCTTTAAGTGCTTTATTGCCAGTTTTGTTTTTGAGAAGCACTCTGATACAGGGAGAACTAATAACCCTTTGGATATTTTAGGGAACTAAGTACCAGGAAATATGTAATGTAAACGATACATTTAAAGGAAGTTCACTTCCCTCACACACTCATCCTGGGCTAGAACAAAGCGTACCTAGCATTTATTTTAAACAGTGTTTTTCCCTGTTCAGTTGTTTTCATTAAAAAAACAAATCATCACACAGACTGCATGTGTTACCCAGGTGCTGAAACAATGTGTAGCCATAAGTGTAAATCTTGATCATGTTGAACTGATTGCTTATATACTGCCCACTAAAGTGTTCTACTACTGATTATTCAGTTGCATGACTTTTTGTTTCTACCCGTAGCCTATTAGTTGTTTATATTATTGGGTGAGTATGGGACTGTTGGATATTTTTTTTTTTTTTTTTTTTCCCTTCCGTCTAAGTTTGTCAGGCAGGTACTATATATTTTTTTTTTATTTGCTTGTTTCGTCTTAGTTGTAAATTCGTGCCCCACATTCCACATCTCACTCATTTGAGCATTCCGTATCTACCTTCATATGCGCTTTACTTTCCATAAATTCCTTCTAACTTTCAATATATTTTGGTGGATTTTTATATAAGAATGGTTTTCTTGAAGTTAAAAATGGAAAAGTAAAATGTTTTAATGTTGTGCTTTACCCGAGGTAGCATATCATTCACCTGCAAATTGGCTAATTTAAAACGGATTGGGATGTATTTATCAACCAGTGAGTTGGCATAATTATGCTGTAGATTAATTAGTTGCATCTTTCTCTGTATGTTGATGTGGTGGCCAGCACTCAACTATTTCCCCTGAGCGTTCTAGCAAACTGTTTTTCAATTACTAAAGCTAACCTCCCTTAAGATTCCTGAAACTTAATATACACCTGCTTTGTGCTGCCATGTTTTGGTGTGAGAAAATAGTGACTCCAACCCTCTTTACAAATTTATTTTTAGCTTTAATGTTCTTAATGTATGCTAATAATTTTTTGTCAGTCTCTTTATTTTTTTTTGTAACTTACCTTGAATCCAGTGCCCGGCCAAGTTGTCCAGGAACAACGTCTCGCATTCTCTTACGCTGCATCATCCAATACCTGTCTATAGGGAAGCATTGATTGTTCTTGGGGCACATGTACAGCAAGTGTCGCTACCCGCCCATAAGCTTCTTCTGATAGAGAAGCATTGAATACAATGCTTCTCTCACAGAACCTATGAACGTTGCACTGCACTTGTGCCGCTGTGTTTTCGCGAGAGGCGCTATGAGCTGGGTTACAGCTCAACTCACCACAAAAGTCTGTCCACCTCTTACCAAGTCTACTTGTTTTTTTTGTTTTTTTTAAACTTTTTGCATTATAAAACAGTGCCTTTCACAATTCAATAAAGTGATCAACGTGCAATTAATATAGTGGTTTACACAGACACAATAAATGTATAAACTTCCCTTCAAGGATGGACAACCCTGAAGATTTCCTCAACATAATCTTTAACAGTTATCAATATATACAAATAGGGGGATATCCCGTCAGGGAAGAAATGGCACAACATAGTGCAAAACTGTATGTTTAAATTATTTATAATTTGTGTCAAATGGCCACTCACAATTTGTAAGAGATAAAAAAAAAAAAAAGGGCCTTCAGTGTGTTGTATACGATTGCAGGTCCTGTTTGTAGTCTTGAGCTTTGAATATCTGAGTAAGTTGAGACAAGGTGCAATCCAGTTATACGGCAACAAAGGTAAAGTGCACAATGCAAATTTATTAACTTACATTAAAGTTGGTATAAGTAGATGTAGATATCAGCATGAAAAAAATTAAGTCTTACGTGTTTAATCCCATTCAGGGACAAATCAATAATTAGTCCAGCAAATTATAAAGTGTATTGTATTTTGTAAGAATAATGTTGATTTTTCCCGATATGGGATGAAACGTATAGGACTTACTTTCATGCTGATATCTACATCTACTTATACCAACTTTAATGTAAGTTAATACATTTGCATTGGGCACGTTGCCTTGTAACTGGATTGCGCCTTGTCTCTCCTTACTCTGAGATATTCAAACCTCAAGATTACTTACAGAACCTGCATTCGTATATAACACATTGAAGGCCTTTTTATATCTTACAAATTGTGAGTGGCAATTTGACACAAATTATAAATTATTTAAACATACAGTTTAAATGCATGTTGTGCCATTTCTTCCTGACAGGATATCCCCTATTTGCATATATATTTTTTTTATACTTTACCAGCTTTCCGATTTCCACACCTTGAATTTTACATTTGTAATTCTATGACATTCTGTAAACCATGAACTGCGGAGCTGCTTGAAACCCATAGTTTTTAGATTCATCATTACAGCCTTTGAGAGAAATACCTTAAATTCCACAGCACTGATCATTTCATGACAAGTTGCCTTGGCCTGTTTAAAAAGGTTTCAGGCCTCCATTGCTTTAATCCTGAATCCAGCCTTCAAATAGTAATAGCAAAGTATTTAACCAGTAAAGATACATTCAGATTACTCTGGTTTTCAAGTATGTCCTGGGGATTTTACCTTAGCCCAACATCCAGGGGTTGTTACTATTACCCAATTTAATGGTACTCATTTTATGTATCTTGGACGGATAAATGGATTGCATTGATTGATGCGGCATGTATAAATGATCGTTTACACATCTCTCTCAGAATGCTGGTCTTATATTTAGTACACATAGTTGTGTGTGTATATACAGATCTGACAGGGTTCTTATAAAACCTGAGAATATAGTTAATTTAATGCAGATTAAAGTCAAAATTGGTTGGGTTTTTTGCATGAGTGTTACAAAAATAGGAGCCGATGGATACATAGCACCCAAAAAACTGTACAGTGACACACCTCCCTGTCTTGTGTCTTCCTCTGGCAGAGCTGAATATAATGTAAAAAAATAAAGCAGACATTGAGGGCTATATATGCATAATTTCCATTATTGTCTAAACTACTTGACAGTTGTATTCAAACTAAAGTCACTTTAGGGCAGAAAGTTTACCTGGTCTGTTGATCTAGACATCTCTCTAGATTTTGTTAAAACTACAAATCTTTATTAGGAAAAAAAAAGTAGCTGCAGCTAATGGTAATTGGATTTCAAGAACTGGATAGCTACATATTGATTACTATAGCTATATAGAATATTTGATACGTTTACTGATTGTTGTGCAAGTACCACCCTCCCCACATATAAGTAGGCAAACTGGCAATGTTTTGCTTCTTACCTGAGGTCTGCATGGAGCCCATCTGTCTGCACCTGGAACCTATCTGCCTCAGATTGACCCCGGTGGTGCAGGGCACTTCGCTCATTGAGAGTGATATACTGATTCTCTTAGCCAATTAGCTGGCCATACATTGCAGGTCTTTGCTCTCCTGAACTAAGCCTTGCAATGTAAGGCCAGCTCATTAGCTGAAACAGTCCACTCTCAGACAATGAGTTGCGTGTCCTGGAACCCACCCTAGTGCAAGTAGTCAAAATGAATGCTAGCTTCTTGCCTGCGGTAGGTGGTGCAGGGTTTAAGCTGGAACTACATTACAGGTCTTGGCTTTGGAGAGCTAAAGGTAGCCCCTAGGAAAGGAGCTTCTGGCTGTATATACCAGAAGACGAGACAAGGAGTGGAACTGGCTGACCCAATGTAAAAATTTATACCATTACTAAGCAACATCACTACTTACATTAATTAGGGTGCTAGGGCACTCTTTGGTGTTTTTCGTTAAACGTGCAGCTCCAAATCGTAGTTTGATCAGCAATTTTTTTGCTCTAGTGTTTATTTCTGCTGTCCCAGGGCATACTGCATTGTTGTAACTCAAATAAAACATGCAATATATATTCTATATTATCACTCATGGCCTGAGACAAGCAACTTCTAAAGAAGTGTAGGCTGGGAGCATTTATCCAGATGAGATGAATCCGCCTGAAGACCTGATGCGGAAATCGTTGAAGACTTGCAAGTTGTTAAATCTGTGCTACTCGAACGCTCCTAAAATGTTGCTCACTGAGTGCTATCTAGGATTGTGTTTAAACATGTTTATAGATTTGGAGAGAGACACTTTGTGTGAATCCACTGGAATCTGAGTCTGCATCACAAATTGTATTGTTTCTGCAAATATTTATATTTGGTGTACTCTGAAACATTTATATCACCTCCATGTTATTTAAATAAAATGCAGGGTACTTAATGTCCAAACATTTGTGATATCATTACTTTGATTTATGATGTACAGATCAACACATCCTGCAATATTTCCTGTTTGCTTCCATTTTCATGTGATAAATTTGACCATTTCTAATACATTTTTAGCTTGTTGGTAATCTGGTAGATGGAGTGCCTGCCACAAGGCATTGTTTGAAGTTAGAAAAAGTTTATTGAATAATTCTTAATTGGTTGCATTGCAAACCCATCTTTTGCTAAAGTAGGCCTTAACTTTTATCTCATGCTTCTTGATTGTTGAATAATCTAAAAGAAAAACAATTTTTATACTAGACTAACCCCCGAACCTCGCAAAGCCGATTTCTCAATTTTCCCTTTCTTCCCCTGCCGGTCACCAATACTTGTAACAAGTATTTTAATAGGGTGGCATAAACTCACTGCCAAGTCACTTTTATGTCACCATAGCAAAATTACTCTTTGAATTTCCCTGACATTATGCTTACAAGTTGATCACCACTAAACACATTTTGATTCGCTGCATGAAATGTCAGTGTGAATGAGTTTAATTTTGTGGATGATCGTTTTGAATAGCGGTGACTCTAAGGAGAAGTGGTTTTTGCCTATGTTTTAGTTTATATAGTGCGACCATCTTCCACAGCAGTTTAGTTATAAAGCAACAAGTATTCAAGAGTTAAACATTATCTTCACAGATATGTGAGGAAGAACCTCTCCCCCTCTTGTGTGTCTTTACTTGTGTATAGATCTAGATCCTTTGTGTGTATCTGATGCATAATGGATGCACTATTTATTATGGTTCTGTAAGTATGTGACCAAAGATCGTGTGCTTTATAAATGTGTGTAGAAGCCCAAGAAGGCATTGCTTCACCATAAAACATGGTTTTATGTTCTGTATCTTCTCTATTATATTTTTGTAGGTTAGTAAAACTTTTTTCGTAATGTAGGGTTAATAATGTAGTTTGTTAAAATACTGTAAGCACAGGACTAGAGCAGACTCCCAGTGTGGCCAGGGATTAGTTATACAAATGGTGGCATATTCTGCTGGAGAATGTAACTCACTAATTGTGAGCCAACTAGGGGAGAGATAGATATAGATATATATATTCCCCCCTCTCCCCCCTCATATTTCTTCTAGAGATTAGGCCCCCAAGGTAATCTGGTCCTTGTGTAAAGAGGAACTGTCACTTTGGAAATTTCAGCACAAGCAAATAGCGGACTAATAGTTTAGATCCATTATATCTGTGTTATCCATACAGTGTTTCTTCATTAAACAAAAAAAATGCACCATTAAACCTCCACACCCCAAATTATTTATAAAGATAAAATATGAAGTACATTGACTGTGTTGGAATTTTACTGAAATCCCAACAGAGTCAAAAAATCTACTCGAACAGCGTAAAGACTTTGTCTTATTTTTTGTACACTTGACAAAGAGGCTGAGCTACCCTTTTTCAAGCTCCCAGCAGTCACTCTAATGACAGCTGAGGGGGGAAGGTTGCATCTATGGATAATCCCATAGTCTTGTGGGGTCCTCAATGGACCTCAGTGTTGTACTGAGTACAATGCTGATGTGGACTCCTGGCAGATAAAGTACCAGGAGCTGAAGAACAGCATGGCAGAAGCCACAAGGAGCAGGCTCAAGATTTAACTTGCCTTCTGCTGCCGCAACCAGACACCCAGTGGCAAGATCGCTGTTGTGGATTTTTCCAAGTTATGAAAGACCTTGTGTGCTAACAAAGCCTGTGTAAGGCCAAATAAGTGGTGCAAGAATCTCCACAATCACTTCCCATGTTTTGTGCCAAACTGTTCCGAACCATATCTCTGTTTTATAGGGTTAATCCCACCTTTCTTCTATTAAAGGAACACTATTATACAAAAGTAATTCCTGACACACTAGTGCTGGTGTGGCTGTCTAGGTCCGTGGTCTTGCCTCCATGGCTGAGATCTTAAAATTGGATGAAAGCCAATCCAGTACTAGTTCCTGTCAAGGCCTTCTCCTATAGAAGCCTCTGATTGGACGTGCTCTGAGCCGGAGATTGAGTGATCTTTAAAAACTAAACAGGCAAAAGGAGGAAGGGAAGCAAGTTTCCGCTTTAACGTTGAAGCACAGAACGGATTTTGCCAGAGTGCAGAGCGTTTTGACTAAAGTTTTGCACAGAATTGTAGTTCGGAATTCCAGAGCAGAGTTCCTGGGTGTAACTAGCTCTCCGGTACAATAATGCAAATATCTGTGGTTGTGTAGTATTTCTAACCGTAACAATGCACAACCAGATTTCTTCCTCCTTTACATTGCAGAAACCCTTTAAGTACATTTAGGGTTAGAAATGTGTGGTTTTTTTTTTTTTTTCACTTTGTAGTATAATCTTAAACGATTTGTAATAAATCAAATATTTTATACAACAACCCCATCATTTGTTGTGTATGTGATCTAAATATGTTGACTGCTTAATGTGAGCAAGTCATTACCTTCCCCCCCCACGTCATGTCTCCTTGTGTGTGGTGACATTGCATTTAAATAAAAAATTTTTTCCTGTTTTAGTACTGCTTCTGACAGAGGGAGATTTTACTTGAACTGTATCCAACCCCTGCCTTTTATAGATAATTGGAAACTGCTGTTTACTAGAGATGTCGCAAACCGTCCGCGGCGAACTCCGGTCAGCTGACACATCCCGGCCAATCTCCAGCAGACCCTCCTACTTCCTGGACAGCATCCATGTTCAACATGGATGCTGTCCAGGAAGTAGGAGGGTCTGGGAGGGGGGGTCTGCTGGAGATTGGCCGGGATGTGTTAGCTGACCGGGGTTCGCGGCGAGAAGTTCGCGGACGGTTCGCGACATCTCTACTGTTTACATGCCTTCTCTCCTTTTATAGAATATTACCCTTAATATTGTTTTGATTAGAAATAAAATACATGGGAAATGAAAACCAGAAACCATTTGGCCAGCTCAATAGGCTTGTTAACTTATACAGAGCTGTATTAAAGGGTTGGTCTAAGCACCATAACCACTTCAGATATACTTTTAAAATACACTTAAGGTCTGAAACTGAAAACCAAAATTTAAAGAAACAATCCAAGCACCATAACCACTACAGTGCACAATCAGCCAATGAGCTTAGCCTTTCACTTCCTGGCTTAGCACACACAGAGTGCTTCTGGCTCTTTGGGTGAAATGGTGGCATGGAGTGGATTCCAGTTATGTCAAATTGTTTTCCATCCTGTTTGATTACTTGGAGGGGCGGGTTGTGCCAGGTCAACCATTAGTGGTTATGGTACATGGTTCATCTAAATTTATCATGCAACATGACTCCTCCATCTGGGTTTATTATCAGTCCTTTTATTTTTATAATCTCTGCCATTGTCTGTCGTTTAACATAGTGTGTAGGAATTAATATTTTGGCTTATTCTCGGTGTGCTTCATCTGTGCCAGGCCTGAACTGGATTGTGATATCATATGCTAAAATGGAACAACACATCAATACTTGGCTTAAGTTATAGGTAGTTCTCAATGTTTTATGCCATGGTGAAATAACTGAAAAGTGACAGCTCCCCTTTAAAGAGATACTATAAGTGCCAGGAATACAAAGCTGTATTCGTGGCACTATAGCTCCTACTCCTCCCTCACATGCCCCTACCGATGTTAAACCCTTTCTTTACTTATCTTATCCCAGTAGTGATATCCCTCAGAGCTGGTTCAAGGCTTTAACGTTCCGCAACGAGTGGGCACCAATGTGCATTAGGCCTCCCCAGGAAAGTGTAGAATCAGTGCTTTCCTATGGGGAAATGGTTGACACTGGATGTCCTCATGCAGAGTGTGAGGGCGTCCAGCGTCAGTTACTGGACCAATAGTCCGTTAGCAGCCTGGAAGCGTCTCCGGAGACTGTCTAGTAGTCAGTGGCTAGTTGTATAAAAAAATCAAATTACATCATCCAGTTCATTCGATGTACACCATTCCAATGAGGACGATAAACAGAAACATTATTGCAATTCTCTGTTTACCAACCGTGGCTGCCTGTTTTTATTTCTGATTTTTATTTTATATTTCATAAATGTATATTTGTTAATATAAGGCATAAGTAAACATATTAAAGGAACACTATAAGTACCATATTAAAGCAATGCTTTCCTATGAGGAAATAGCTGTCACTGGATGTCATCATGCAGAGCGTGAGGACGTCCAACGTTCGTTACCAGGCCAAAAGTCAGTTGAAAGCCACTGGAGGCAGATTTAGTGCTGCAAGGTTAACATTGCAGTATCTCTTGAACTGCAGTTTTTTACATTGCAGCAATAAGAGATATAGGGATGCTGTACCCAGACCACTTCAATGACCTGAAGTGGTCTGGGTGCCTATAGTGTCCCTTTAAACTGGGTGCATTAGTCATTTCTCTTGCACTGTTTGTATTTTACTGGAATGGCCATCTTGATTTATTTTTTTTCAACTTCTGGAGTTTACAGTGAGGGGGGAAAAGTTTTTGATCTGCTGATTTTGAACAAAGAAATTATCAGTCTATAAGTTTAATGGTAGGTGTATTTTAACTGTGAGAGCCAAAAAAACAAAACAAAAATCAGAAAAATGCATGTCAAAGTTATAAATTGATTTGCATTAAAAATCAGCAGGAGATCACATGCTTTTTCCCCTCAGTTATTCAGAAACTGCCACGTTCCTTTCTAAGTTAAATCACAGTTCACCCTCTAATTTTAGTAAAATGAAAGTTTTCTCATACTTGATACAGCTGGTTTCACTCAGGACTTGGCTAAATAGTTCAGTTTGCTAAAAATGTCAGGCTCTGTATAGCTTGCAATTTATGTACCATTGACCTTGTTGTGGTCTTTGGTCTTCAAGAGACTCAATTTGTTTTCTCCTTTATTTTTAACCTTGATACAAATCTAAAGAAAAACACATTGCTAGATCAACTTACTCATCATGAGAATTGTTAAAGGAACACAAACATGTATTCCTGACCCTATAGTGTTAAAACCACTGTCTAGTCCCCTTTTGCCTCCCTAAAGATAGTAAAATCTTACTTGTATTCAAGTCTGAAGCTGCTGTCTGTGCCTGTGAACTTCCTCTGACGTCATTAGACGTGGTGGCCTGATCCACGCACAATGCTTCCCCACAGGATTGGCTGAGACTGACAGAGGCAGAGCCAGCACAATTCAAACACAGCCCTGGCCAATCAGCATCTCCTCATAGAGATGAATTGAATCAATGAATCTCTGAGGAAAGTTCAGTGTCTGCATGCAGAGGGAGGAGACACTGAATGTTGGATGCATTTTAGGCAGGACCCAGGAAGGATCTCTAACAGCCATCTGAGGAGTGGCCAGAGAAGTTATCACTAGGCTGTAATGTAAACACTGCATTTTCTCTGAAAAGACCGTGTTTACAGCAAAAAGCCTGAAGGTAATGATTCTACTCACCAGAACAAATTCAATAAGCTGTAGTTGTTCTGGTGACTATAGTGTCCCCTTAATTTAAAGTGAATTTTAAATCCAAATTGGAAGCATAGCTTACTTGGAGAATTTTTTCCAATTTTGCTTTTTGGTACGATTTTGAAATTCTTTTAATTCCTGACCATTATCACTCTGGTGAATAACCCTGAAACTGTCCCATGTTCAAAATCTACCATATAAAATTATGCAAAAATATTCAAATGTGACAGTCGTTTTAAAATAATCCTGATACTCCCTAATAAACAGGTGGTCCCACTCATGATAAATAGCAGTTTCCAAGACCACCTAACCCAAGGTTTTGAGTGCCAAGCCCAGTATCAGCTTTTACCTGGATCTAATGTGCAAAGAATCCCTAGTTTTCATAACATAGATCAAAAAAAGTTTGTTTCCCTGCTATGTCACTACTGGAGGTGTTCTGGATAATCCTTCCATATTGAAAATAAAAGATTGAAAAATATACGGTATAAATTAAAACAACTTAATATAAAGTTATACAAAAAAACTTCTTAAACCCCTAAGAATGTTCCCAATTTCAGAATGTGACGTAACTCTTTATGAACACATAGGCTTTCTGTAAGGCTGGAACATCTTTCAAATATACTTTTTTGCATTTTCTTGTCTTATATCACTAAAATGTCAAACAGCAGTTGGTCATTTGTCGTCACCATTAGTATTTTGGGAATCTGTCATCTTGAAGCATTAGCCGTTTTAGAGGGTTAGTTGCCAAATGGGAAATTCACAGAGGGATTTTCAGTTTCAGGCCAAATTTTAAGCATTCTTTAAAGGGGCACAAAAGTCACCAGAACAACTACAGCTTATTGTATTTGTTCTGGTGAGTGTAATCATTCCCTTCAGGCTTTTTGCTGTAAACAGTCTTTTTAGAGAAAATGCAGTGTTTACATTACAGTCTAGGAATATCTCCACTGGCCACTCCTCAAATGGCTGCTTGAGGTTCTTCATGGAGCAGTGCTGCATAGTGAGCAGCACTGCCATTCAGTGTCTCTACGCTCTGCATGCAGACATTAAACTTTCCTCATAGAGATGCATTGATTCTATTTATTACTATGAGGAGATGCTGATTGACCATGGCTGTGTTTGACTTGTTCTGGCTCTGCCCCTAATCTGCCTCCTTGACAATCTCAGCCAGTCCTAAAGGAATGCATTGTTATTGGTTCAGAGAATAATTTCTGATGTCAGCCAAGAAGGCAGATCAGAGGTAGATATTTGCTATATTTATGGGGACCAGGGGGCTACAGGGTTTGTGTTTCTGATCCTACAGTGCAGGGCTTGACAAATCCAAGGTCGCCCTGAGGTAAGCGGCTGATCGAGATTGTGGCGAGGGAGGGAGCTGTAATCTCCATGCCCTGCTGCCTCGGGCGACATCCAGTGATGCTGGGAGCCAGAATATGACTTATTTCCTGCCCCGCGTTCTAGGGAGCAGAGCAGAAATGACAGCAGCCCCACTTGACCCCAGGGAAAGCTAATTCATTCCAGCTTTCCCAAAGGTTTTCCCACACCAAGCTGGTGACAACATGGCTGGCTCCACCTCCATGGCCGAGATCATCAATCTTCATGATCTCAGGCAATCCAATGCTTCCCCATAGAAAAATATTGAAACTATTGCGCATGCGTGGCATAATGCAATTCTGCAACAATCCACTCCTCAGAGATTCATTAAATCAAATGCATCCATATGAGCATTAATGTGTGCAGCACTGGCAAGGGAAGCACTTCTAGAGGCCATCTGAGTGACTTTCACTAGAGGTGTTACCAGACAGCAATGTAAACCTGCCTTTAACCACAAACAGAATTGGGATACGGCTGTATAATCTATAGAAAGAACATCTAAAGAAAAAACACAATAGTGTAATACAGTATATACAGTGAATAGTGCGCTTTTAAATAGATGCACTCACAAGATGATGGAAATAGAAGAGTGTTCACAAGGTGCCTCCCCTGATGGTACGGGGGGCTGGTAATTCCCCTTGTCAATGTAGAGCAACCAATGGAACACGGGACTCCAGGTGAGTAGTAGTAGAAAAACCAGTAATTTAATTTTCTTAAAAAGGTGAAAAACACCATAAGAATAAAAATTAAAAGTGCAGCAGTAGGTCCAACGCGTTTCGTTCAAACAAGAACTTTATCAGGGACCGCACAGTAAAAAAATCACAAACAATATCACAGATTGTATAATAATACATGAGGAGCCAACTAGGGGGGATATATATATTTATTTATTCCCCCCCTCCCCTCATATTTCTTCTAGAGATTAGGCCCCCAAGGTAATCTGGTCCTTGTGTAAAGAGGAACTGTCACTTTGGTAATTTCAGCACAAGCAAATAGCGGACTAATAGTTATTAGATCCATTATATCTGTGTTATCCATACAGTGTTTCTTCAGTAAACAAAAAAATGCACCATTAAACCTCCACACCCCAAATTATTTATAAAGATAAAATATGAAGTACATTGACTGTGTTGGAATTTTACTGAGTCAAAAAAATCTACTCGAACAGTGTAAAGACTACTTTGTCTTATTTTTTGTACACTTGACAAAGAGGCTGAGCTACCCCTTTTCAAGCTCCCAGCAGTCACTCTAGTGAGGATGTATTATTTTACAATCTGTGATATTGTTTGTGATTTTTTTTTTTTGATTTTTTTTTACCTGGAGTCCCGTGTTCCATTGGTTGCTCTACATTGACAAGGGGAATTACCAGCCCCCCGTACCATCAGGGGAGGCACCTTGTGAACGCTCTTCTATTTCCATCATCTTGTGAGTGCATCTATTTAAAAGCGCACTATTCACTGTATATACTGTATTACACAATTGTTTTTTCTTTATATGTTCATTCTATAGATTATACAGCCGTATCCCAATTCTGTTTGTGGTTCTATGCATATGTAAAGATCGTTTGTTGTGGACAACGATCCTGGGAGGCTGCATATTGATTAAAGCTAAGTAATTCACATGATTAGAACACTGAGTTTATGGTGTTTGTTTGTTAAACCTGCCTTTAGTCTGAAAAGTCAGTGTTCAAATTGAAAAGCATACAGGGACAATATATAGACTCCAGAATAACTACATTAAGCTGCAGTGGTTCTAGTGGCTAGAGTGTCCCTTTAAGAATTGTATTTTTGATGTTGGAAAATCTGGCTCCTAACTTTTTAGCTAGCTCTTAGATTTCAAGCAAATTTGTTAAGCCCTGCTATAGTCTTCCTTTAAGTTAGCTTTTCTTTTCCAACTCCCAACACTATTTTGGCCTTGGATTCAAATTTCCCTTGTGAATTCTCCATCATTAATGATTTAATGAATTACCCTGTCGTTATTATTAACCAAAATATAAGTTGTAGTGTTCGTGTGTGACTACTTGTTACTAGAGAGAAAACATAGATTTGCGGGATTCCATGCCCTAGTGAACTCGTCTATGTACCTGCTTTCCAGCACATGCTTGCTACTGTTTTTCCCAAAATAGGACATTCCCCGAAAATAAGCCCTAATGCATTTTTTTGGGGAAAGACCGTATCTACTTCGATAGATTCTCATGGTTTTTCTACTAGTCTTGCACATACCAACCAACTGCGGTGTCTGTGAATCGGGATGCTGGTGGGAGGGTGGGTCCATCCAATGTATTGGGAGGTTTGCCGGGCTTAGCCACGCTTGGCCATTGAGGGCAGAGAGCATTGTTTCAGTGCATCTCTGCAGGGTCCTAGTGCCTTTTTAGGGTCAGTTCCCTGATGTCCCCAAAACGGAACAGAGGGACAGGACCAGAAAATCGTGGCTGTCCCACTTTGGGATAGTTGGGAAGCTGGCTTTTATATTTGATCATACAGAGTTGACATCCAATGTTATTGTTAAAGGAAAATGGTTTTATTTTTTTAATTACTGGATATATTAACTAGTGCTGGACATATTCGAAATATGCCCTGCGCTGGGTTTACACAGTGATTAAAAACACAATGTTTTTACTAAAGGGCACTTAAAAACGCCTTCAATCCCGGGGCAAGGGCAGACATATTTACATATGTGTCCGTTACAAAATGATAAAGATTATATAATCCTTGCATTTTACACATTACAGAACCTTAAGGCTTCAAATAGTAATGTCTTGCCCCACAAGGCACACTAGGGGAAATGTCCATGCTACGATTGATATTAAAATACCTATTTATTAAAGAGTGACCTAGTTATAGCACACCTATGTGTACGGAGTATCAGCAACAGTAGAGTTCTCAGGTGTTTAAATACTTGGTCACATTTTGAGCAACAGGTGCTTTGAATGTAAATGAATGTAAACGTGTGTCTGTATGTGTGTACATGTTTTACAAATTAAAAAAAACCTACTCCTGCGAGCATGCAGTAAAACGATTTGCCTGTCGGCAGTATTCACATCAATCAGGGAGCTATGAGCAAGCAATACCAATGCTCAAACCCAGATGTGCTGAGTTGGAGCTGATCTCATAGCCAGAAGCATATTTTGTCCACAAGCTAATATTTCCTTTCATTTTTTTTCTCTTTCTGTATCTGTCCACCGGCTGTTTCCAAGTTATGTCATGATTTATTTATATTCAGGCAGTTATAAACGCTGTAATCGCATGAAATTGCAATGCTCTTGTCTGAAGTTTTGTTACGTCAAAAAGTAGTTTATTTCTCTATGAAGGCTCCCTCCTTAGCGATTTTTATTACTACAATCACCGTGGAAAATAAACTTTCACTACTTCTAATCCCTTTAGATTTTGTCATGCACACCTATTGTAGGATAATCTACGTCTTCCTCTCTTTACATGGAATATATTCACCTTGTTTAACAGTTTATTCTCTTTAGTTTAGTTTAACACGTTATTTAACGAGGATTCATGGTTTTGATGTGAGGGGGCAGGTGGTAGATTTGAAGAGCGTTGAAAAATCATGAATTGACTTTTTGTGAAAAATAAGTGTGGATGTTTGTTTCAACCATGTTTTATTTTAAGCAAATGCTTGCAGACTCTTAAAGGATACACCTCTTTCTGTTGAAATAATTATGCACTATTAATGTCTGTTAAAAAAAAAAAAAAAAATTATAAAAAATAAAGCGATGCAATAAAGATAATTTCCTGTGTATATTTGTGACCCTACATCTGTAATGCCATCTTATGTGCTTAGTGGTGTACTGTACTTTTTAAATTTTCCTAGCCATACATCAGTCAATGCAATGTCCAAACAATGGGTTTACATAGACATAAACGCTATTGCTGAGGATTCATTTCATGTTTTTGAGAAAAATCCTAAAACCCTGACATGCCTGAGAGTATCTTAGAGGGTTACCAAACCAGTAAAGTGAACAGGGCACAAAATTGATGTATAATTGTGGATTATAACTAATTTAATCCGTAAGTAAGGTGCACACCATTCAAATGTGTATACACTTCAAAAAACACACACAGACCCAATGGTCTGGGATGGTTATCACTGTAGAAATTAAAAATATAATTGAATAATATCCCCCTTTAGTATCACACTCTCGTTTCTATGAGCCTGTTAGAATAACTGACTCAGGTAATACAGCATAGGTGTGACCGTTGTAGTTCCGGACAGGATAGATAGCTTTATCCTCAGAAGCAGGAGAAGGCAACACAAGTTAAATGGATTCTCTATTTCCTGGAACTGGAAAATCCTACAGTGCCCCCAATCCCTCGTCGCTAAAGGGGTTAAAACCCCTTCTGTCACTCAAATGAATCCAGCGGCGATGTCCCTCGGTGCTGGGTCAGGCTCCGCCCACAGTTACCCCGCCATCAGCTGGCAGGGGAGACCACATGCATGGCAATGGCATTAGGATTTCCCCATAGGACAGCATTATTCAGTGCTTTCCTATGGGGATTCCAGTGACACTGGAAGTCCTCATTCATAGCGTGAGGACGTCCAGCGTTATTTAAAAGACTAATAGTTGTCCTAAGCACCATGAAGTCCCTCTACTGGCTGTCTTGTAGACTGTCGGGTTAAGTGACATGGGACATTGCAGCCAGACTACTTCAATGAGCTGAAGTGGTCTTAGTGTCTACAGTGTCCCTTTAAGGTAAGAAGTAACATTTATTATAAAACCAATATAAATATCTTGCATTCAAGTTACTGCAGTGCAACAGTTCATAGGTCCATAATAACAAAATACAGCACAACGCATTTTAACTTTCGTTGCGTACAAAGTCCCATATTACATTTCTAGTTTTAGAAATCCTATTTGGCGACAAATCGAGTGCCTAAACATGCCCCTATTTGAGTGATCCCTATTGCCCCCTTCGTCGCTGCCATCTTGGTACTCACGAGGGTGCGATGCGTACGTTCAGGGGCTATCTTTGCTTCATTTTTGCATTACACTGCTGCCACCATCATGCGGCTTTGAGGGGATATCATTAATCATGATCACCTGTGGTCGCTATACTACCCTGTGAGAAGATCTTTGCCTTTTCATTTCTGCAGTGATAACCATCCAAGACCATTGGGTCTGTGTGGTTTTTTTTTTTTTCGGTTTTTTTTTTCTTCTCTTCTCGTGTCACGTGTGTAAACACATTTGAGAGGTGTGCGTTACTGCACTTATGAATTAATCCACAATTCTAGATCCATTTTGTACGCTGTTCACTTTGCTGTGCTTTTAATTGGTGGAATTACCGTGATGGGTTCCACAGTGATAACTAGCTGCACTTTGGCACCATTGCACTTTTTAAAGCGCCACTTATATTGCAATTTGTTGTTTTTTTGTATTCTGATATTAGAGGGTTACTCAAAAAAAAAACAGAAAACCCAGAAATGAAAGAATATAGCTAAAAGTTAGTTCTGTTCCAGCACCAAGTTCTCCCCACAGCCAGATTGTCGTCCCCTGCCACCACTCCCCTTGCTTAAGAGGGGCAGATGTCAGGAAAGGCGGGTTGTTGTTACTAATGCCATTAACATAGCGCCAACTTATTCTGCAGCGCTTTGCAATATTATAAAAAGGGAAATTAATAAATGACACAATTACAAGATGTTAGAGGATTTAGGGGAGGATATGGGCTGCACATCCTGTGGGGGGTACTGCCCTTAGCTGTTTGGTGCCAGCATACTCTGCTTACTGGAGTCAGACTGCCAAATATAGACTAAATTAACATTAAGAGAGTTCCAGGCTGGTTAAGGACGCGCCAATGACGCTGCTGGAGGTGGAATTACAGCTCCTGTAACAGAGGGGTTAAACTCTGTTCAGCGTTTCGTAAAGAAACATAGACACCACACGTCATGGCCATTTCAAATCACTAAAGTGGTCATGGTCCTTGGAATAACCCCTTGAACCAATGGAAAAAAACATCTAAACTGCATTGTGATCAGATGCTTTTTACTCTAATCCAAGCATGTCAAACTCGCAGCCATCAATGGACATTTTTGCTGCCTGGCCAGCCACAAGTACATGCTTGGTGTTAAAGCAGAGTAGGCACCTGCTTTCTCATTGCAGGTGCCTACTCTGCTAAAATTTACCTGACCGGTGAGGAAGCAGGACACTTGCGGCAGCGAGGGAGCTCAGTCTTCCCTCGCGCGCACAGTCTGTAGTGATGCCGGCTGCTGGAATGTCATATTCTGGCATCACTAAACGGCGCGCAAGGGAGCAGTGAGCAGCAGGATGGAGTTCTTCAGATAGAAGATCCCCACTGGACCCCAGGGAATGATGTGTGTGTGTGTGTGTGTGTGTGTGTGTGTGTCTGTCTGTCTGTATGTGTTGTCAGCTATGACCGCAGCTGGACAGTGGAATACCTGGAGGTGCACAGAGGCACGCCATGTCACATTCCGGCGTGACGTCAATGTGCTCCACCTTCACAGGGTTTCAAGAAGTAGCGGGAGGATCCTCTTTGGCACAGGATGTGGACGGCGCCATTTGGGGTATACCAGAGGCCGGTTTCCGGAGTCGCATACTGGCAGCGGCAATATGAGTGGAGTCTGCTTGTTGGCTAGAGAGGGTTTCTGGGATTTATTAAATGGGGGTGACTGGGATTTAGAAGAGGGGGATGCAGTAGTTTAGAAGAGGGGGATTTTTTTATTTTTTTTTTAACTGTACTTTTCAGAATAAACCTAAGTTTCTTTGAAAATGTAAGGTGGTTTTTTGTTTTTCGGCCCACATAAAATTCAACCTTGTTATTTGGCCTGTGCTAGACTTTGTTTGACATGCTTGCTCTAATGCAGGGCTAGGCAACCTTTGGCACTCCAGATGTTTTGGACTACATCTCCCAAAATGCTCTTACAGCCATAATGCTGGCAAAGCATCATGGGAGGTGTAGTCCAAAACATCTGCAGTGCTGAAGGTTGCCTATCCCTGCTCTAATGTATATGTCAATACAGAAATAAATGGAGAAGCAACACTAAACATAAAGGGATACTGTAGTGTTAGGAATACAAAGTTGCATTCCTAATACTACAGTGCCCTCACGGCCCACCTCTGGCTCATAAAGGGTTTAAAAGATGTTTTTAAATTATTTATTTACACACCCGATCCCAGTGCTGATGTTTCACAGTGCTCGGACTCCTCAGAAAGTAGGCCTAATCCGCATGAACAGCAAGCGCATTCGGCCCTCCCCATAGGAAAGCATTGACTCAATGCTTCCTATGGAAGCTGACGCTAGATGTCCTCATGCAGAGCAAGAGGACGACCAGCATTATTTAGGGGACTCAGTGAGGGAATCTCCCAGAAGGGCCACTGGAGGCTGTCTTTGTATTGTAATGTCAACATCGATGTTTCTCTCTAAAAATAGAAAAGATTTACATTGCAGGACTGAGGGGGACGGGGACACTGCATCCAGACCATTTCAAAGAGCTGAAGTGGCCTATGCACCTATAGTGTCCCTTTAAACAAAATAAGAGTTTATTCCATTAGAATGTAAGATTTACCTGGCGGCATTTTAACCTGAAAAGGTTCTTTCTAACGTGAGGCTTACGACATTGTCAGGTCCATCCTGCTTTCTGATAACTCCTGCCCGGGTAAGGTTGGTGTTTTATCCCCATTAATATGTGCTGCTATTAAAGGGATGTCATAAAACCTGGGATGCAGCAGCCATCAACCGTTTCACCAGTGTTCCAGCTTTTCCTCACTTTTTTCCACTGTACCTGTCATAGGTAGCTGTCCGCAATATCCGAATCTTGGTATTTCTATTAAAAAAAACAAAAAACACCAATCATTACACCACATGACGTAAAGCGGCACTGAAGTGTAAAACTCCAATTTTCTTTATAGCAAATTAATTCTGCTGTGAAAAACTGTTCATTTAGATACATTTTCTCTTGCTATTTGTATAAAGGAATGTTTGTTAGTGTAAAAGCAGTCACCTTTATACTAACATACTGTGGCAGCTATAGTCAGTGAGTTCACAGAATAGGCTATGTTGGGGGAAGCTTGGAGGAACAACCACCACAATACACAAATCTTGTCAGCAACTCTGAGATACTTGGCATCCAGTTCAAACTTAAAGTGACAGTGTAGGCACTATAACTGCTTTATCTCTTTGACGTCTTTCCATCCTTTGGCGCAGTCTTTCCATTCAGTGGTAAGCTAAATTTTAATGCTAAACAGTCTCCAGCAGCCCATTCCCTCTGTACTTCTTGGACTAGCGAGGAAGCATTAGCCAGAGCAAAAAATAGCTTAACATTGCCAAGGAAATCGGGCGCCATAACCAATCTAATGAGATGGAATAGTCATAGCGCCTACAGTATCCCTTTAACAGTAAAGCATGCACAACCAACAGACACATGGTGATGCAGAGGCCCACATTTTACATCACTTCATCTCCCCGCTCATAACCCCTCTGCTGGCAGCCGTGCCGGATTTACTGTTATGTTTAAACTGACTGAGTCCCTGGTAGGTTGGAGGGGTAAAGACAAAATTAAGGTTTTAGCACTAGCTTAACACCATGGGAACTGCATTTCACCTGCTAAGCCTTATATATAAAGATGTTTGAGAACTACAATTCCCATAATGCTCAGCCATGCCAGCTTGGCTAAGCATTAGGAATGGTTAGTGTTACATAGCTGAAAAGAGACTTGCGTCCATAAAGTTCAACTTTCCTCACATGCTGTTGATCCAAAAGAAGGCAAAAAACCTAGTCTGAAGCGCTTCCAATTTTGCAACAAACTAATAAAAAATTCCTTCTTGACCCCAAAATAGCAGTCAGATATCTCCTTGGATCAAGCAGCTACTACTCCACTAATTAGAAATGATATCCCTGTATGTTATGTTTTTACAAGTATTTATCCAATTGCAGTATAAACATCTGTATGGACTCTGATAAAACGACCTCTTCAGGCAGCGAATTCCATATCCTTATTGCTCTTACTGTAAAAAAAAAAAAAAAAAAACCTTTACTTTGCCTTAGATGAAATCTCCTTTCTTCCATCCTAAATGTATGACCTCGTGTCCTATGTATAGCCCTGTTTATGAATAGATTTCCAGATAATGGTTTGTACTGGCCCGAATATATTTGTGTAATGTTATCATATCCCCTCTGAGGCATTGTTTTTCCAAACCAAAGAGATTTAAAACTTTTTAACCTTTCTTCATAACTAAAATGCTCCATTCCTTTTATCAATTTTGTAGACCGTCTCTGCACTTTTTCTAGTGCCATTTAGAACAGGTGCCCAAAATTGCACAGCATATTCAAGGTGTGGTCTTACCAGCGATTTATAAAGAGGCAAAATGATATTTTCATCCAGAGAATTTATGCTCCTATTTAAGGCCTTACTGGCCTTAGAAACTGCAGACTGACATTGCATATTGCTGCCTATTTTGTTGCCTATAACAATTCCCAAATCCTTCTAGTGTGTGGCTATCCCTAATTCACTACCATTTAGGGTAAAAGTTGCCTGTGCATTCTTGCCCCTGAAGTGCATAACTAGTGATGTCCCGAACGGTTTGCCACGGACTCATCATTGAGTAAACTTTGACCCTGTACCTCAGTCAGCAGACACATTCCAGCCAATCAGCAGCAGACCCTCCCTCCCAGACCGTCCCACCTCCTGGACAGCTCACTAAGAATGCAGCTTCACAATGGATGCTGTCCAGGAGGTGGGAGGGAGGATCTGCTGCTGATTGGCTGGAATGTGTCTGCTGACTGTGAGGTACATGGTCAAAGTTTACTCAATGATGAGTTCGCGGCGAACAGTTCGGGACGTCACTATGCATAACTTTGCATTTCTGTGTTAAATTTCATCTGCCATTTTAGTGCCCAGTCCCCCAATCTATCCAAATCCCTCTGCAGCAAAGAAATATCCTGCTCACATTTTATTACTTTACAAAGTTTTGTGTCATCTGCAAACACTGATACATGGCTTTCAATGCCTATTTCAAGATCATTTATACACATGTTGAATAGAAGTGGTCCCAAAACAGAACCCTGAGGGACACCACTTACCACTTTTGTCCAGCCTGAAAATTTACCATTAATTACAACTCGTTGTACTCTATCATTAAGCCAATGTTCTACCCAAGAACAAGAATACTCATCTAGACCAATTTCTTTTAGTTTGAAGACTAACCTATTGTCAGGAACCGTATCAAATACCTTGGCAAAGTCCAAGTAGCTCACATCCACTGCAACACCTTGATCTGTACTTCTTACTTCTTCGTAGAATGCAATTAGGTTAATTTGACATGCTGATTATTGCTAATAACAAAGTTCTTCCCAATTAATTCCTGAAAATTATCCCTTAATAGCCCTTCAAATATTTTCCCAGTCACAGAAGTTAAGCTCACAGGTTTATAATTTCCAGGCAAAGATTTTGAACCCTTTTTAAAAATAGGAACGACATGTGTAACGTCACCAGTACATTTTGCAAAAGGCCTACCCAAGCTGTCATTCATACAGCGTAACAGGGAATAATACATAAATTCTTATTTGTGATAATTGCGCTTAGTAATTATCCAGCTCCTTCTGGCTCATATTGCAACACTTACTATTGTAGCACTTTTGCCCAGATATTTGTTACATATAGTCACCTTGCTTACTATGTATTGCTCACGTGGTTACACAGATCCGTCACACTTCCCACATTGTGCTGTCATATTGCCCCTTGCCTACTATTTCTCTCTCCCCACCCCCTCCAGTCCCCATGCATGGCAAATGCATTGGGCCCTCCCCATAGGAAAGCATTGGCTCGCTCTACCTTTCTCTCCTGTGAATAGGATTCTCAGAAGCTGCCCGCAGCGCTGGTAATACAGATAATTTTCTGTGTGGAGTGCTCCTCTCCAAATTATGCTTCCACTAATTTTTACTACCTTGGCTTCAGGTGAAGCTGTCCTGTGAGTTGCTAATTTGCTAGTTTACTAATGGCAAATTTTGCATACAAAGTTTGTTTGCAAGTTTTTACAGATAATGTAGGAACTGGAATTATCTCTGTAGCAGCCAAGGGTGTAGTCAGTTGGTACTGAGAGAGTCATGGTTGTTTATCAAAATGCTCAATCAGTTTCGACAAATGGAATGTGAATATAAAAAGCAGAAGACTTACGTGACACTCCAAGATCCTGATGGTACAAGTTTATTTAAGAGAAAACCACCCCACAAAACATGCAACGTTTTGGCTCCAAAACGCAATCGTGTGTGTGTGTGTGTGTATGTATCTTAGTCACATGATCCACAAATAACTGTGAAAAGAAGGTATGACAGCGTACTTAAGACAATAGTAACATGTGACATGGAGAACTCAAATAGCAAAGTGTGGAAAATCCTTTAGATTACAAACGCATAGAAACATTCTCTTCAAAAACATAGACAAAACAAAGCATGAATTTTTATGTTTTAGAAAAAATTCCTCAGCAGAAATGATATATACATCTTTTAGTCAAAATGAAAAAGGGACTCTAAAACCATAAACATTACATATTATTATACCAAAGTGTGCACACTTAAACAATGAGGTGAAAATATGCGCGACACTTATGTGAAGGATCCCCTTAACCCTCACGACCACACATAACCGTATACACAAAGATATAAGTGGAGCTTCACAGTACCTGGTTTTAACATGAATGCACTTGGTTACAATCTTAACCAGAGATCTGTAAATAATATACTACACAAATATAGTGCAGATGGTCTGTACAATTTCAATATATATAAGGAAGTGATAATTCACAACTCACAGGTTTTAGAGCCAATTGATCACGTGGCTCTAGTGTATAATGCTTCAGGATCTTTTAAGGGTGATCCACTACCCCCTTGTGCTTCCTTCTGGTCTCCTCCACCTTCAAATACTCTATTAAGAATGGACAGGAAACTCCAATAGAAAAAGGATCCACTTTTATTGAAGGGGGAAAAAAAGGAAATATATAAAAATGATCAATTTGATCCAAAATACTAGTATAATATAAAATCCAAAATAAGTCCAATGTCCAAAACGCGTTTCGCCATTTACTGGCTTCTTCAGTTGGCTGTGTAGTTTGTATGGCGTTCTTTCTTTCTTAAATACCGCCTTCATTGTAAATTTGCCGGCATCCGTGAACCCGGCAGTGACCTCGGTGGAACGCACGTTCCATTCACATATTAATCACATGACCCGGAAGTGCCTCCTCCACTCTGAGGTGGAAATATTACAGATATTCCTAAAGCATCTGTATTCAAATATAAGAAATATAAGCCTATTAAAACAATAACAGAAATTAAAACACAACAAAATAACTTTCCATAAATATCCACATCTATTTCTTTATACCAAGCCAATTTAAAGTACCTAGTGCTCTTCTTTCAAAAGTGCTTGTGTAAAACAATTTAGATTGTCACATTCTTATATAGTACTCCTATTGGTGATATCTTTGTAAAACATGGAGGAGGGAAGAGATAATTTCTTGAAAATATAAAATAAACTATAATATATATATAATTTCTGATTTAAATTAAAAAAATTAAATCAGAAGCTTAAAAACAAGATTCTCCAAGTTTTATCCAATTTAGATTAAAACAATGCTGTATAAGCTAAAAAATATATAAATAAAAATCATGATAAAAAATGAAACCGTTCAAAATCTAAATTAAGACCATAATGTACTAGTGTTAAAATTAAAAATATTTAATTTCTTCAGTTCCAATTCTTTTTGAAAAATCTCCTCCCCTCCAGTTATTTTTTTTAACTACCTTCAGTGCACAAAATGTAAGATCTTTCGGATTTTGGTTGTGGAAGTTTTTAAAGTGCTGTGAGACGCTGTGTGTGTCTATTCCTTTTTTAATATTTCTGTTCGGAAATTCTAGTGTGTAAGCATCTGATAGTTCTCCCTACATATAACAAGTCACGAGGACATTTTAATAAATAAATTATATTTTTGGAGAAACAAGTTAGTTGGTCTCTTATTTCAAAATTCTTTTTCGTAAATTAAGTTGTATTTTTTTTTTTGCTATTAGTTTCTCTACATGCTGTGCACCCTCCACATCCAAAAAAAACCTTTTGCTCTTGGTCAAAAAATTATTATTAGTATTTATTGGGTCTTTATAATTGCTGTTCACTAATATACTTTTAATATTTTTACACCCTCTATGTATGATTTTCGGTTTTGGTGGTGGTAAATTTTTTTAAAATGGGGTCATCTTGTAGAAGGTGCCAGTATTTATTAATGACATGTCTTACTTTCATATTTCCAGCGGAGAAATTGCAGATGAACAGGATTTTCATATTTTTGTCCTCCTCTTTTTTTTTTTTTCTTATATTTAAGTAACTCTTTTCTTTCCATTCTCTTAACTTCTTCCAGGCTTGTTTGGAGATCATCTTCTTTGTAACCCTTTTCTATAAACTGTTCTTTGATTATATGAGTCAAAAATCGCCTTCTTGCGTGCAGTTTCTTTTTAATCTCATAAATTGGAGCATTCATAAGCCATGGAGTGTGGTGGCAGCTTGTGAGGTCTATATATGCGTTGCAATCTACTTCTTTAAAATAGTTTTTTGTATGAATTTCTCCTTTGTCTATAAAAATAGTTAAATCTAAAAAATTTATTTAATTTTTACTCTGGGTGTAGGTGAGAGTTATCCCCCAATCAATGGAATTGAGAAAACTTAAAAAATCAGTCAGACTAGATTCATCTCCTTTCCAAATAAAAAATGTCATCAATGAAACGGCGGTAGGTAACCAAGTCCGCATGTGCAGCATGCTGTGCAATATATGTCTCTTCCCAGTACGCCATAAACAAGTTGGCGTAACTGGGCACGAACTTGGTCCCCATTGCCGTTCCGTTGATTTGCATTAAAAAAAAAAAACTGTCCTTAAACCAAAAAAATTATTGGTAAGGATTAAAAATATACCTTTGGTTATAAAATCAATCTGTTCTTGTTTAAAATCACTTAAGAAATATTGCACTGCTTCAATCCCCTTGTTGTGTGGGATGACACTATAAAGTGAGCTCTCATTGCATGTGACCAATATATAATCATCTTCCCATTTTATATCATCAAAAATTTGTAAAATATGCATAGTGTCCTTTAGGTATGAAGGAATTTTTATTACTACTGGTTGGATATTGGTTACTTTATTATTATTATTATTATTATTATTATTATTATTATTATTATTATATGAAACCATATATTCATATAAGCAGGCTGAACTGTATCCATGTGGAGCTGCTGCAATCCTGGTGGACACAAAGGGATAAGCCTCCTCGTGGAATTAGCTGGGAAAAACTAGAAAAACCCACTTATTGAGCAAGTATATTTATTTTCTATAGTGAATAACATTCAGGGCCTTAAAGGCCATAGTCTATTCAGGTGCTCAACCAAGGACCAGGACCTGCTTAGAGAAATTAAATGCTCTAAAAAGATATCCAGAAATCAGAAAAAAATTACCATACATTTCAGACTAGGCCTTCTGACCAGACTGAAACATCTTAGATGTTCCTTCATGTGGCAGCGCTAGGAGGAAGTGAATACACATCACTTCCTCTCTGTGCTCAGCCACATGAGAGTACAAAGCAGGTAACCTGTTCTGGCAGCTTTGACTGGCTGCCAGAGGAGCCACCCTCCTACAAACGAAGGGTATCCTACTTTTGGGAACATCAGGCAACTGTCCTCAAAATAGTGCAAGAGCATCATTAGACAGCATTGGGACCATGCATAAATCACTGAAAAAGTTGTCCCCTCTTAGTCTGCCTTTGCTTGGTTGTGTGATTGTCAGGCAGCCTGGCACGCAGGTGCTTATCGGCCAGTTTTTTGGGAGTGTCTGCTCCTTTTAGGAAGCGCCAGTGAAGTGATTTGCATTACTGACTCACTCCATTTTATCCCTCCCACGGCATTCCAATTCACGAGATGCCAATTTTGGGAAGCATGGAAACATGACCATGGCTAAACATTTTCAAATTTTTTTTAGTGTTGATTAATGCATGTCTGCGTATGTGCAGATGGGAATGTGTGTATGTGAGTTGTATGTAAAAAGTTCTGTGATTTCTGATGACAGCCATGCAAATATAAATATTTATACCCATCCGGGTTATTCACTAAACTGTGATTTGCTTGGAAACCATTTGGAACGTTTTAGACAAAATAACCAAGCTTTAAATATAGTTGAAGTTTAGCTTTTTTTTTTTTTAGTTTGCATATGAATTCCAACAATCCCTATTTAAGAGGATAACTGCACATATTTTTGTTATACATAAACAGTTTATTTTTTAAATCTTTATTTTTGCTGTGCATAATTTAAAATATAAGCTTTTTATGCCACAACAATAATAAGTGGCATAGAAACAGACAAAACAAAGTATTAGCATGGCATTTAGAGAGACTGCACATTTTTGTGTTAACAATGATTGGCTAGTAAGAGTTAAGTCCTTAGGTAGTTAAAGGACCACTATAGGCACCCAGACCACTTCAGCTTAATGAAGTGGTCTGGGTGCCAGGTCCAGCTAGGTTTAGCCCTTTTTTCTATAAACATAGCAGCTTCAGAGAAACTGCTATGTTTATAATTGGGTTAATCCAGCCTCTAGTGGCTGTCTCACTGAAAGCAGTAAGGGGCGCTTCCGCGCTTCTCACTGTGATTTTCAAAGTGAGAAGACGCCAGCGTCCATAGGAAAGCATTGTGAATGCTTTCCTATGGACTGGCTGAATGCACGCGCGGCTCATACCACGCATGCGCATTCAGCCAAGGAGGAGAGTCCCCCACCCGGCACTGGAGAAAGAGGTAAATTTAACCTTCCTCACTATATAGCCTGAGGGTGGGGGCACCCTCAGGGCATTATAGTGCCAGGAAAAACTAGTATGTTTTCCTGGCACTATAGTGGTCCTTTAAGGCAAGACGCATTTAAATCTGGCTGTACGGACTGACAAGAGATCGTTATAAGAAAGAAAAATATTTATGTGAGTACTAATTAAACAACAAGTATATGCACTGCCTGTAGTTCAATTGCTAAAATAAAGGTAGGCTCTGACACACACACACTCACACACTATGAGGAGCAAGAGAAAAGAAAAGGGGGGTGGAAAAAAAACCCTGAATGGAGATGAACAGTGTGTTGCATTTTAGTCGCTTGATGTGGAGCCTACAGCAGTCCGGCTAGATAGAGGAAGACTATACACCTCTGGAAGGATGGAGGTTTTGCGATACTGAGCAGGCCCATCGAGCAGACAGTCAACCAATTCCCTCACGGGGCTTGTGTCGCATGTAGAATTTTATAGTACACTGAAGTAAGCAGAACGGTGAAACAGAAGTGGGAAACTCCTCCTGTGTCTGTGCGAGAGCCGGTTCCTTCCTGCCACGGACCTGGTGACTTATATAGAGCAGGTTCCTCCAGTCCGGGATGATGCGGTGAGTGGCTTGTGTGGGTCACTTGCATTGTATAGCTTTCCGCCTGCGTGGTCGGTACGTTGAGATCAGAACCCTATTCGCTCTTAGCCTGTGGAGGCAAAGGACTTGAGAGACCGAGGCTTTCAACTTCGATGCACCCTTGAGAAGCTTCCCAATTATCTTCCTTGCTGCACCTCAACTCTCCTCCTGGTGAGTTATTTTTCGCGGTTACTTGTTTCATGCGCCACGTCTTCCGCTCCAGATTGAGCTGTAATTCGTAAACGCCAGGATCCTCGTTAAGTAGCTTCTTCCGGGGGAAAAGTCCAGTCCATGGTTAGCCCAGATATGGTCTGCAAAATATAAAAAGGTAACGATAAAAGTTGCACCAAAAAATGTATACAAATATAAACGTGCAAAGACACTGAATGATATGAGTAACCAATAAAATAACCAGGGTTAATATGGGTAACAATAGATGACAATGAGTGGTAGTCAATAATAAAATTAAAAAGACTCCTAGTGCACACTTGCCAGAGAGACAACCAACAGTCTGTTAGAAGGAATATTCTTTGACGGAGCCTGATCAAAAAGATAGTTCTTGGAATCCGTATGTGGAAACAAAGAAAATATAATAGTTTATTAAATCCTAATAAAAGATGATATTCATAAATCAAAGGATCTGATGTAGTCCTACTCACGTATAATAGAGCTTAAAACCAGCTCTAGTATGAATACAGCCTACAGTGGTACAATCCCCACTTACAGGATACGTGAAGAGGTGTGAATGTCACAGCAATGTGAAGACCATAAAAGGGTTAAAAAGAAACCAGAAATAGTGCTCACTGTATAAAAGATGATAGGAGTATAAATGATAAAATGGTTACTCACAGGCGGACTGCTCCATGAATTAGACGTAAGTGGTATAATCCCCACCTGGGATGTTTTTGGAGTAATACTTAACTGGAACAGTAAAATTTGGTTACCAGGTAGTTGTAGTAATAAAAGAAAATAATAGCAAAAAAGCAATAAAAGAGTAAAATGGCACAATCGCTTGATAAAAGGAGCCAAAATACCTTTGTTGATACACAATATTAAAATATCCACAACGCGTTTCACCTCTTGGGCTTTCTCAAGTGGAGATAAAAAAAAAAACCCTGTCGGTTGTCTCTCAGGCAGGTTTGCACTAGGACTCCTTTTATATTTTATTATTGACTACCACTCGTCAACTTTTGTTACCCATATTAACCCTGGTTATTTTATTGGTTCCTCTTATATCTTTCAGTGTCATTGCACGTTTATATTTGTATACATTTTTTTGCGCAACCTTTTCTCTCTTTACCTTTTTGTACTACTCCTATTAGTAGGGCTTAGAGGGAGCCCTACCACTTTAAGGTTTGCTGCCTTTACATTATATTATGTTGTCTTTAGATTTTTGGTTATTTTAGCGCTGATCCTTCAGTTGTAAATTTTTCCCATTTACCTAATTTATTTATTCCATGAATTCAAAACTGCATTGTAAAGTACAGGCTCTGATCAAATAGTTGGGTGTTAATTTGCAGTTTATTGTAAAAACAGAGCATTTTTATAGAGCATTTTTCTAGAGTGCATAATTATATTACGCTAGGCAAAGAGCTGGAAGATGTATGATTTAACATTTATTTAAATATAATTTTTTAAGCATTTTACATCAATTACATAATCAACAGATTCTCAATCATCCACTCTTCCCCATATTATTCTATCTATAATTCATGCCCGACATTGTTGGATGCAGCAAATTTTGGAGCATCCTGCGGGTGCTATGTTCGAGGAGAGAGAACAAACCTGCAGAGAAGTATATTGTAGTCTATAAATATGCTTCTGATGTTGCCAGCAAAATGTATATATTACATTTAAATACTACCCCGAAGCAGGCGTTTCTCCAGGGGTGGCATGTCGTCATTAAGCAACGGAAGAAAAATCCACAAGTTAGAGGCAACAAATGGAAAATAATAAAATATAAAATCAAATGTTATACTAAAATTGCTAATCTATACATACACTTTATTAGAGAGTCGTTTTTTTGTTTTTTGTTTTTTTTCAAATTTAGCAGCAATGGCCTAACATTTGTGATAACTGTAAATGTTTCATGTAAACACAGAGATCGTCCACTAAAGATATATAATAAAAGTAAAATTAATAAATATCGTGTGTGTGTGTGTGTGTGTGTGTGTGTGTGTGTGTGTGTGTGTGTGTGTATATATATATATATATATATATATCGTAAAACAAACCGTACACTGTTGCATACTGCATGTAAAATATATAGGTATATGCATCATGCAAAGAGAATACCTACAAGTTGTTGTTGTTTTTTTTTTTTTTCTCTAAACATTTATTTCTTTAGAACTCACCAGGAAAATGCAAATTTAAGGCCAGAAAACTGATCTGATTATCTGATAACCTCCAAATTTAGGATTTATTTCTAAATCATCTTTTTGGGCATAAAATGTTCAATTCCTGAACACTCTATAGGATTGCAAGATTTCTTGATTGTAAAAATGAATGTCTAGATAGAAACATTTCTCAAAAACCTCTGAAAATATGAAGGCTGCAGTCAAACCGTAGAAGAGAACCTTCTTTTTTAGTTCCTATGGGGAGAAAGAGGTGCCGAACACTGCATTTCACAAGACAGACAGAGCACGTATATAGTATTACATGCCCGCTTTTCAAAATGGTCCCACCTGCTTCTTGGCTGAAACTGTTTCTTCTAACTTAGCAGAGCTATGCGATACCTTTTGCCTTAGACTGTCCCTTACCTTACCCCACAAAGAGAAAAGCACAGATCCATATGTTCTGGACCCATCAAGGTTCACACATAAGCAGATTACAAACATTTGATTTTCTTTTTTTAATCTTCCCTATAAAATGAGCATGTTTTTATTATAATTGACTCATACATTTCTACCTCTTAACACTTTGAATATTGCTCCTGCAATCCTGAGTCCCAAGTGGTAATTGTGCCAAGCCCCCCTCCTTTTACCATCCTCCAGGAACAAATATTGTCAAAATGTCCTCTCTTTCTCAGCCACCCAGCCTCTAATGTTGACAAGACCCACTTCCTAGTCCAGACACCAGAAACCTTTATAGATGGCAAATGGTCAAGGTGATTCTAGCCAGGGTGACCAGATAATTTTGTCATATTTCTGAAAACGGTTGCCGTGCATATTCTGCAGGATTCCTCATTGTCTAATTGCTTAATTGAATACACCTTCTGAATTCTACATTTTACAGGGCATTAATATGTATATGCGATCATGTGTCCCAGAAAACATGGGGGATCTGGTCACCCTGATTATAGCCCAATACTCAAACAGTACAAGAAAAATAATTATTACCGGAGCTTAGACCGGGCTAACGTTCTAAGAGTGGGTAGTTAGAGCCAGGTCGGTGTCAAGGATTTCAGAGAAGCAGAAGGTTTGGGAGCGTGCCAAGTCAGAGAAAACAGTTTTGAATAAGCAAGGAACAGAGCAGAGTCAAAAAACAGAAACGGGAATCACTAAGAAAACACATTTTTGTGTAACAAAGACCACGACAGGGCAAGGAGCAAACATGATCTTAAAGTGTCAATATGGACACATTTGGCTAACATCACACATGACACTGAAGCATAAGGGAGCTTTGTTGCTGTAATGAACTGAATCTCTACTGTGCCAGAAAATCACACTGATTCAAGAAGGAAATTTAAAAAATAAACTGACGCCGGAGTAATGTTTAGTGTCAATTTGTGTGCCATGGTGGCCTTCAGATTAAAGTTGATAGGATAAAGGGACCATATAGTCACCGGAACCACTACAGCTTTATGTAGTTGTTCTGGTGTTCATGCAGGCTTTTTAATGTGAAAAGGCAGTGTTTACATTACTGCAGAGTAACACCTGTAGTGGCCTTTGCTCAGACGGCCACTTGAGGTGCTTTCTGGGTCAGTGCTGCACAGTGTGTAGCACTGATGTTCAGCATCTCCCTGCTCTGCACAGAGACACTTAACTTTCCCCATAGAGATGCATTGATTCTATGCATATCTCTGAGGAGATGCTGATTGGTGCAGAGCGGCCTTTTGCCTTGTGTGCATTTCCTAAAGGAAAGCATTGGATTGGCAGTGCGTGTCAGTTGTGCAGTTCTCTGCCAAGGAGGTGGTAGCGGGGATGGAACCAGCTGTGGAGAAACCTGCGTGGTGCTGGAATTTGATCTTTATAAAACAAACTGCATTATTACCAATATACAACCATGTAAACTGAAGTGCAAGTATACATATCTTCTTATGGAAATAAGGGGGAGGGGATCTTAAAATCCCTGATTATATAACATTTGAGTAATATTCATTTCAAATTAATGCGAGAATTTATTTAACAATGATCATCATTTTTAGATTGTTTGAGCAGGGCCTTGTTCACCTCTCGTCTCCGTCAATATCATTTAGTACGTAAGTTATCTGTTGTCCCCATTCTATATTTGTAACGCACTGCAGAAAATATTGGCACTATGTAAATGTTAATAATAATTATACTTCTCTTATCTGGAACTCATGAATAATGCATACATGTATCACGTCATGGATAATTCTTTATGGATGTAAATCAAACATTGTGGCCATGTGTGTCTTTTTCATTCTTCCCATTCCTTTTTCTTTTCTTTTTCCTCTTTTTATTTTTGCCACCTTTTCCATACAATGGATGAGAAGGGAACATGGGCTCTAGTGGATGTTCTATACTGTGTATTTATTTATTTATTATATATATTTTTGCTAAAACATATGTGCCAGACTGACTGACTGGATCACGCTTTATGACATGCGGGTTTAATTTTGGTGTCTCTAAAAGTGTCCCTTGAACCAAAAGAGAGAAAATTTACAATGATTGGGGACATGTCCCTAGGTGCAACCAGGAATGAAAGAGGAATCAAGAAATACTAGTTGATTTGTATGGGCTGTTTGCAGGTCTAGAAAATGAAACCTATAAAAAACAAAAGTAAAAGTGATTTGTTAAAAATGTAACCTGATTAATAGATCCATTTATTAACTGAAATAAAATATTCACATGTGACAGATTGGCCTTATACCCCATTAACATTTAGGGGAATTGTGTTAGTCCTAACCTGTTGGTCGAGGAGGTGTTAAAAAACCTCCTCCAAAAAGTAAACTTCTAATGATATACAGAACTTTCCTACCTGTTCAAAGACTTTGTTGATAAAGGTATAGATATCTGACATCCTTGCTTTAAATGGACTGTGCTTGTAAAACTCCCAAATCCATGAATTGCATCATGAAAACCATCTTTTTATGATGCAAAAAAACTATTTATGTATTTTTATTTAATTTTTAAATCCATTTATTCATATGTATGTTTTATATAACGTCAATATAAGGATTTTGCTACCAAGTAGATGTCTTACACATTGCTAATAAATTGTATTTGTTTAGATGGCGAACCCTGTCCTCTGTAGGTCAGCGCATTCCAGGATCTCGATTTATCGCCTTTAAAGTACCGTTGAAAGGGGTAAGTTGTAGAACAGTAGAGCTGTAGACGTTCCATAATATATTCTTACAGGGCTATTCAATAAAGTGAGAATTCAAGGTGAATTTCAAATTTAAAGCCAGCGTAGTTGAAGTGAAAGCATTGCTGACCAAGAACATTTTCACAGTTTTACTTTTGACCTTTAATTAAAATTTCACTTTGTATTCTCACTTTGGTGAATATCCCTGTTGATAGATGTATTGTGATATATATATATTTTTTTTAAATGTATTTAATTTTTTCATTTGATTTTTACATTAAATCTTTAACTTGTGTTAACTGCCTCTTGATTTAGCCGTGCACAAAGTTATGTCTTTGAATTGGTTATATTTCGTCACAGGGATGAATTTTAAGCTATTGTTCCATGCAATATTTAGATATGTCTGGACCCTGCAATAATAATAAATAAATAAAACCGAGCCAGCTCAAAGCTCGAGAGTTTATTTACCAAAAGCTGTGATTTGAAATCAGAATCACATTAGCTTACTTTTACAATTTGGGTTTTATTGTAATTCACTGTGATTTGATTCACTGCAATCTGTTTGATTTACCAAAACCTAACTCTTTTCAACCACATATCTTGTTTTTGGTCCATGTTTGTATATTATGCCTTTCAATAATGCTAACATTTTTCTTTTGTATTATATTTCTTATCCTAGATCACAAACCAGCGTGTTACTAAAAACCAGAAGTTTACTCCCAAAGACTTGCTAAATGAGGTTCGAGTTCAAAACCAAGAGCTCGGGTTGATAATCGATTTAACAAACACAGAGCGATACTATACAATTAAGGTACCAATCAAACTGCTTAATTTTCTAAAATAAAAGTTCAATAGTTAAATGCTTTCTTTTTTCCCCCATTATTTTCTCATTCTCAATGCTATTTAACAATGTGTTCACTTATTTTATATTCACTGCTTCTATTTCCCCCTCATTTGAAGGATTTACCTAAAAGTGTTCAGTATGTAAAAATGCACACCGCTGGTCTGAAGATACCAGACGACTCTACAATTCACCAGTTCAAGAGAATTGTGAGAAGATTTATTTGGAATAATACTGAAAACGGTAATCCTTTTTTCTTAACTAAGTAGTAGTAGTAGTATTTTGTCCTATGAACCACTTTGCAGATGGCACTTTTGTTGTGTAGACCAAAATGTATTTCTTTAAAATAGATTACTAGATTAGATTACTGGGCACCAAAGAAACAAAAAAGCCTTTAACAGCGTAATTGAATTTATCTGTAATCTATCGCTGGGACAGACTCCTCACTGTGGCCTAATATTCGTCCAATGAAGTCTTGAAAACTCATGATGTTTGTCATATCCGATGCTTCTCATTGAGATGCACTGAGGTCACTTCTCAATCATATGCACTTTAAAAGCCGCAATCCACAATGATGCTTCTGAATGAAAATGAATAAGTGTTCAGTGGTAACTGCACTGTTTACAACAGCAATTATGAAGTCATGTTGGTGCTTAGCGTGTCCCTTTCAATAAACTCTTGTCTATATATTGGCAAGTAATGTTTGTTGGCAAATAACATGTGTAAAGTGATATACTATGACTGTGAGGTGTCCTTATGGAAGATACACGTTTATGTTGCCTGTTTAACAAGCAAGGAATTTGTTTAAGACGAAGATAAAATTGCATGCATTTGTTTCCTTGTCAGATATTGCTGTAAAAAAGTAATACATACACAAAATGTGACTCAACTGACAAACAAACCTGGATCTTGCAGTCAGATTTTTCAAAATGTGTAATTTATTTGTCCTCTTCTTTGACCAGTGTCAGATTATTTTTCTAATTATGGTATAATGCAGTTGAAATATATTTATAAACGTATATATTTCATTTTTTTGTCGTTTTTAGATAAACTTATTGGAGTTCATTGTACAACTGGAATTAACAGAACTGGCTACCTTATCTGCAGGTAATGGCATTTAAATATACATTTGTACGGATGTTTTTTTTTTTTCAGTAGCAGCATTTTCTATATAGTATTAATCATTATTTTATCATGGTTTTTAGGTACTTGATTGATGTCGATGGATGGGATCCTGAAACTGCTATTAGTAGTATGTATAGTAATCTACTCAAAAACTGAAATGTCTCAATTCCATTCTGAATTTTTATTTTTTTATTTTTTTTTTGTTAGAGGGTTTGTTTTATTTATTTATTAATTTCTTGTCCAGCTTTTTCTCAGTGTCGTGGTCACCCAATCGAGGGAAATGTTTATCTTGATGACCTTGTCAAAGGAGCCACCAGAAGGTGAGCTTATATATTATTTCAAAATCAATTCTGTTATTGTAGAAGATGCTTCCATCAATCAATCAATCAAAGTTGTCAATCAGACTTGTAAACCTTTCAGTTCCCGGTTAATGTGCTCCTCATTGCCATATCAGGCAACTTGAGTGGGAATAGCTGAAACGGAACAAGGGTTGATGTGCAGGAAGTACAGGCAGATGTAGGTGGAAAGTAGTGATGTTGATGACAGTAGATTAGAACATGAAAATAGAATGCCTATGCACCTACAAGCGGTTCTGTTGAGAAGACTTTATAGAGCATAGGCGTTCTTTTTTCAAGTACTACATTTGGGTTTCACCTACCCAGCCTAGCCGCACTCAAGTTGGTTTATTATGAAAGACTGTGCGTTCCCTATTTTGCATTTGGGTATAGCAGGAGATGGCTTCATGCTAAACACCATTTACATAAAATGAGTGGTATGCCAGAAACACAGTGCTGTTGTTGGTGAAATGTGATGGTTACCTTTTTTTTTTTTTTTTCTACTCTAGTAATCTCGGCATAGACCAGCCTCCAACTGATGACATCATAGGCCCTCTTAGAAAGGAGCGTGAAGATCAGGCAGTAGAGGAAGAGGAGAGGTAAAGCATACAAAGAGTTAGTTTGTCGTAAAATGGGAGGACATTAAAAAGTGTCCGTTAAATATCTTGTTTTCCCTGCGATAATTAATGTTAAAAGATGCGTAGGTGTTTTTTATTTTAAAGGAACATTATAGTGTCAGGAATACAAACATGTATAGTGGTGGTGTGACTGCATAGGTAACCGGCTCCCCTCCGATCTCAGTAAAAAGTTGATTCTACTCACCTTTTCTGCCACACTGTGCCAGTTTCGATGCGGCTGACTTCACCTTCATGGCTGAGATTATCAATTTTGACAATCTCAGCCAATCCCATAGGAAAGCATCGGGAGTCTATTGTGCATGTGCGGCAAAACGCTGCACTGCGCCAATCAACATCTCCTCATAGAGGTGCATTGAATCAGTTCTTCTGTATGAGGAACCTGCAGCATCCTCAAGCAGAGTGTGGAAATGCTGAATGCCAGTGCTGCACACTGTGGAGCACTGGACTAGAAAACAACACTAGAGGTGTTACTAGGCAGCAATGTAAAAACTGCCCTTTCTCTGAAAAAGCAGCGTTTACTTTTAAAAGCCTACTGGGAACAGGCCTTAGAAACCAGAACAACTACATTAAGCTGTAGTGGTTCTGGGGATTATAGTGTCCCTTTAAAGTTAATAAAAATAGGACAGGACAAAATCTACCACTAATTACTTTTGTGTTTTTGGATGAAGTCCTAATCAATTAGACTGAATGTCATACGCTGCATGATCTAGGTTTGTCAGGATTACTAGTTGATCCAGCACGCAGAAATAGTATCACACCTACGATTAAGGATAACGCCTAACCGGACCTTAGAATGGCCGGACTTAACGTACCCAAGAATAGTCAAAATACTTGCCGAGGTCAAGGACACAGAATGAGATGATGAGGGAAAGCCAAAGGTCAAGGATACCAGAAATCAGGGAAGTCAAAATGAAGCCAAAGTCAAAAACCAAATAATACAATCAGGAACACACTCTCGGATAACCAGCAAAGGGAAACCACGACAGGGCACTGACAGAAAGGTAATTTTGGTTTACATACCCCTCCTTTGGCTGTAATTGGCTGCCTCTGACCCCAAAATGTGCATGTGTGTATGTCGTGACGTCGCACGCACGTTGGTGCCATCTTTGGTTTTTTGGTGTGGGCGACAGTAAGTTTATTACAAAAATCCAAACCGCAGCGGTTGGTGCTCCTAAGAGCATCACACTTGCTTGGGATTGGACCGGAGGGAGGTCGGGCAGTGATCTGCCGCAAACAAGGTAAGTAAAATTTGCTACTGTCGGCCTGGTTGCTTACTTTATGTGCAACCACGCCGACCGAATCACCGGGAGCCGTGACAAGGTTTTGTTTTTGGCATGCACAGCCAAAAGGGATTGGATTGAAAAATACAACTTTTGCTAAATCACTTACTCCAAAGGCAACATGGTGTGGTGCAATACAGAATAAGTTTCTTACGGCTTAAACCTTGATGCCAATACTTATGCAATTTATGCTCTACTGATCCTAGTAAATCTTTCCTGTATTGCATCACAACGTGATGCATTTGGAGTAAGTGATTTTGAAGATTTCTGACGGACTGCGGACCCCTTCCACAGTGCTCAGGTGTGGCAGCAGCTATTATCAATTTACCAGTATGCAACTCTACCTTTGGATTAGACATACAACATTAGCAGCAAGACTTAATGTTAGCTTGATACGTGTTGGCAAATGTCACTTTTAAGGCATGTGCATGTTTTTCATTTGAAAAGTCATTGATTTTGTTAATGATGGCCATTTGGAGGGATACATTGTTAGGGATGCTGTGGATTAAAGGTTTAAGTACAAGAAGAGAGATAATGTAAGTGTAAATATGGCATAATTGGACTGCAGGCTACTATAAGCCATCAATTGTATAACAGACAATTGGAGACAGTAAGATACTCTTAAAATACATGTCTAGCAGACTAGGGAATCCATCATGCTTGAGTTGCCATAATTTGAACTCCCAGCTGCAAATGGATTAAAAACAATAGTATAGTATTTTAAGACACTATTAAATAGAGAAGTCAAAATGCTCTGTCCATTTATACAACAATAATTTTAAAATTATACAGACTTAGCCTTAAACTTCTAAAATAGGTCGTTTTAGTCCTGCAAGGTAATCATTGTAGTTTCTAAAAAGCTGCAATGGTTTACATTGCAGGACTAAGTGCAATAGGGACACTGCATCCAGACCACTTAAATGAGCTGATGTCATCTGGGTTCCTATCGCGTCCATTTAAGTGATGTATTCTGGAAAAGTTATCTTATAGTCTTACTTTATTATTTTATACCAGAGTCTCAGGTGTGGCCACTAACTACCTTCTGTTTTAGAGTCCCTGAGCATCATTTAAATAATTTATTGTATTGCAATTAAACTTACTGAATAATTTTGACTTCTTTTTTTTTTTTTTCTGTGTAAGTTTCAAACTTACATATTCATTTCTTGACAGAAATCATCCATACTCAGAAGACAGGCGTAAAGCTGTTGAAGCTTTTTTGGAAGCGAGAAGGAGGACAGAACGCCAAAAGGTTGCGTGGAAAATGGCAGCTGAGAAACAACTTAAAGAGGATTTCGGTGACTTTGATGCACGTAATGAAATGCAAGACTTTGATGCACGTAATGAAATGAAAGAGCTAAGGCAAGTGCCAATAACAATGAGAGCCAGATCACCGGATTATCGTGATATTGACTTCCTTAATGCTATGTCTGGACCCAGAGAGAGACCTTTTCCACCACACGAGGAAATTGATGATCATGAATTTCCTGTGCCATTTGAACACAGGGAGAGATTCTTCCATGGCAGTATGCTTGATGAAGAGATGATGCATCCTGAAGAGTATAGGAGAATGCAATTTGAAAAAAGGCGAGAAATGAGAGGGCCTCATCCAATGGAATTTGAAGCTGAAATGTTCATGGAAGATCATGATTGTTATGACATAGGACCAAGAGAGATGCCAAGACCTGCTCATGGTAGGCAACCTGATATGTCACGAGAAAGCTTGGGTTATGATGATATCAGACAAAGGGGTAGGTTTGGCAAACATCCTGGTTTGCATATGTATCCTGAAGAAGAAGACTTTGAAAATGGGCCAGGTGGACCAATGCCTCGGCCTTACCCTGGACCATTTCGGCATGGTGGACCGAATTTAGACAATGATGATATTGATGAAATGGAAGCTAGACATAGGTTTGAACGAAATCAAGCTTTGAAATCCCAGGCTATTATGGAAATGGAAGAGCGCCATCCCTTTGATGACCATGGATTTCACCCAAGAGAGGCTGCACATATGCCTGGACCAATGCGTGGCCGACCAATGGATGGCCCAGTCAATGAAAGGATGCGCCCAATGGGTGAAGGGATGCGCCCAATGGGTGAAGGGATGCGCCCAATGGGTGAAGGGATGCATCCCATGGATGAACGCATGCCCCCTATGAGTGATGGGATGCGTCCAATAGGAGAAAGAATGCACCCTATGGCCAAACGTATGCATCACATGGATGAACAGATGCTTCCTATGGAAGAACGTATGCATCCGATGGCCAAACGCATGCATCCCATGGATGAACAGATGCATCCCATGGGCAAACGTATACGCCCCATGGAAGAAAGGATGCATCCTATGGATGAACGCATGCGTCATATGGATGAAAGAATGCACCCTATGGACGAACGTATGCGGCCCATGGATGAAAGAATGCACCCAATGGATGAACAGATGCATCCCATGGGCAAACGTATACGCCCCATGGATGAAAGAATAGGCCCTGTCAGTGAAGTGATGCTCCCCAAAGATGCTCGTCTTTCAATGAACAAACCCAATGTGATTCCAGGCCCAATGAGAAATGATCCAATGAACGAACGCATGCCAAGGTACTATACATAGTGTTTATCAAATAAGTTAAATCAATATAAATGCCAATTGCTATGTAAATTACTTGCATACCCAAGTAGAGCATCTTCTTATCAGGCAGGCAAATTTACAAGTTAGCAAGGCAATTAATAATAATAATTATTATTATGATATTTATATAGCGCCATCAAATTCCCTAGCGCTTTACAATGGGTGGATGAACAGACATGTAGTTGTAACCAGACAAGTTGGACACAGAGGGGTTGAGGGCCCTGCTCAATGAGCTTACATGCTAGAGGAAGTGGGGTAAAATGACACAAAAAGGTAAGGATAGTATTAGACTAGTGACAGTTGCAGAAGAGGAATCAGTCAGGAGTTATTAACAATTCAATTGATACGCTTTTATGAAGAAGTGGGTTTTTAACGATTTTTTGAAGAAGTGGAGACTGGGTGAGCATCTAACAGAGGAGGCAAGCGAGTTCCACAGGAATGGTGCAGCCCTCGAGAAATCTTGAAGGCGAGCATCAGAGGTGGGAGTACGGACAGAAGATAGACATAAGTCTTCAGCAGATTGTAAGGGCCTAGACGGGACATACTTGTGTATAAGGGAGGTTAGATAGGTAGGAGCAGCATTATGTAGCGATTTGAAAGCAAGAACCAGAATTTTAAATTGAGCTCTATATTTTATAGGAAGCCAATGTAGGGACTGACAGAAGGGTGAGGCATGGGAGGTGCGGGCGGACAGGAAGATGAGCCTCGCCGCTGCATTCATTATGGACTGTAACGGTGCAAGTTGGGAGCACGTAAGACCACTGAGAAGCGGATTACAGTAGTCAAGGCGAGAAAGGACAGTGGAATGGACCAACACCTTAGTCGCATCTGGCGTTAAGTAGGGGCGGATGCGCGCAATGTTTTTGAGATGGAAATGACAGGATTTGGTGATAGATTGAACATGAGGCTTGAAGGAGAGGTTGGAGTCAAAGAGAACACCTAGGCAACGAGTTTGCGTGGTGGAGCTGATGGTAGCACTGTTGACTTGGAGGGAGACAGACACAGGAGTAACAACATTTGAGGGAGTAAAGACCAGAATTTCAGTTTTGGTCAAGTTTAGTTTAAAGAAGTGGGCAGCCATCCAGTTAGAAACAACAGAGAGGCAGTCAGATACACTAGTCAAGAGGGAAGGGGAGAGATCAGGAGAGGACAGGTAGATTTGCGTGTCATCTGCATAGAAATGATATTGGAAGCCAAAGAAGCTAATGAGTATTATAATAATAATAATTCTAGAAATCTACATTTATTTTTTTGAAATTTTATTTGTTTACTGAAATTTGCTTTCATGAACAATTGTATCAAATTATACTGTTTAGCCACCAGGATATTTAGTTTTTTGGCCTCCATGTTTTTTGTTTTTTTTTATATGCACCTGAGTGGATTTTTTTTTAGCCACCCACATTATTCATAGCACGAGACAAAAGCCGTCTGGTCTTGGTAAATATGAATTTTTAAATGAAAGGAGTTTATTCTAGCTCAATGAAAAAAGACATGCATAATGTTTTGCTTAGAGTGTGACTTGAATGCAAGCATTATTTTGCCTTACACTAAGAAATGCTAGCTTTAAACCCAGCAGTTTTGTAATTGGTGACCACTTTCTATTTTTTTTTTTTTTTTTTTGGTGCCTAAAGCAAAATATAAAATTGTGTGGTTGCACTCTATAGATAAGCACATTTAATTGATAATCTGTGGTGGCCAGTTCCTGAAAAATAGATACCACTGCATTTTTAAATATGTTGACATAGAACTCTGTGAATCTGTGCTGTGTTCAGCTACATCAAGTAAAGCACAATCACCCGCACCGATGTCTTCTCGCAAACAACTGCACCTCACATTACCATATTACACACTTACCACTGCTGAAGCATATAGTTGCCCACAAAGGCTGTTTCAAGAGTAGAATCTCTTAATTGACCCTTTGCTATGACACAGATGTTTGTAGGATAGGTCTTGATGACACAGATAAGACCAGGAGCTTCATTAAACATTAAACTTCGAAGTTTCTGGTAGTAGCCAAGGTCCTACAAACTCAGTTGTATACTGTAACTCACGTCTTCTTGATAATCAAGTAATTTCTCCTTTTTTTCTTTTTCCTCCGCCTTTTCTTTGTCAGATTGGCCGAAGGCAGGAAGACTATGCCTCCCGAAGAATTGATGCAAGGAGTTAAAAGATTTGCCCCTTATCCTTCACAAATGAAAGCTATGCAGCCCAACAAGGAGAGGCCCGGACCACTTCCTACTACCTCGATAAACTACAACTATGGCATGCCTAGTAGTAATCAAAATAAACAAAGTTACCCGTCACAGGCTTATCCTCCAGCAAAATTGTATAATTGAATGTCTTTTTTTATTGTTTGTGTGTCTATCACAGGACAACAAATTACAAAAAGCTATTCACTAAAGTGTGAATTGCCAGGAATTCAAACTCCATTTCATATTTGAGGCTAAAGTAGCCGAACAGAAAGCATTGCTAACTTGGAGGGTTTGTACAGTTTGGTTATTTTTCCATTCCTGTCAACTCACACTTTACTAAATAACCTTAAAATATACTTTTTGTTTGATTTTGGTGATCTAGCCAGGTGTAGTTAGTGAGTTATTTGTATATTGTCATATTTCTGTTCTGGAAAACCATACAATTTGGTTGTTACTTCCAAAAAAATTATTTTGTTTGTTAGTTTCTTGCCTCTGTAATGTTTTTTTTTTTTTGTTTGTTTCAAACCTCCCTTACAACAAAGTTTGGTTAAAGAAATTTCTTTTTGTAATAGTAGTTTTGCTATATATGGAAGTGCAGTGCGATGTTTTTAAAAAGAACTATTCTCTATGAATGATAGCATTTTGACTCTACTGTTACCTTATATCTCCAATAAAACAAATGTGATAAGTTTTGTTCCTGGAATTGTGTTTTTATCTATATTTCATGCATCTGAATTCTCTCACGTCAGTAATATGTGAATATTTGTTTATAAATAAAATGTTTTTTTTTTTAAGTAGGATTCCCACATGATTAGTCATTATTTTGTGAGTAAGACATTGAAAGCAGAATGGGGGATAAATAACGTGTATTTAATAACTTGAAAAAGCTGGTGGATACACAGTTTACATCTTATTGTAAATTCAATGTACAAACATTTCTACCAATTTCGTTACGTTAGAGTTCATTACGTACCGAAGTTAAAATAGAAGAATGAGCAGATTTTCTATTTCAAATACATATTAATTCTATAGGTTGAGTTAAAGTTATTGACACAACATGGTTAAATATGACAAATGCAATACATGGTCAAATGAATTATAAAGTTAAAGGCAGACAGCATGCTGAACACTGTAAAGTGTTCTTTAATGAACTGGTATGTTTAAAGCCTAATCCAAATATTTTTTTTTTTTTGTGTGAATCTCATTTTTATTTTTTTTGTTTCGTCAAAATACAAGCTGACATATGAAAGTAAGGCTTTGTTCTGGAGCATGCAAGGGCAAGCATCAAGTGCAGCAAATAATATACCTGTGCAGATTGTTCAACACCAGGTGGTTTGGCTGGATAACAATAGGTAATGTTGAATACAGTGTGAATTACTCATATGCATTTTAGATCCATTTGTAGTATTAAAGGCAGCCTTATGGAAAATCTGAAATTTAAAAAAAAAATTTTTTTTTTAAAGTAATATGCTTATTTAGCGTTCTCATTAGAATTATCATGCACCATTATGTAATATACACTTGATATAAAAAGTCTTGCACAAAGGTCATCGCTTTTGTCTTTTTGTTTTTATGACAATGGGACTGCCATTACCCATGCCTTCATACTTACGCCTGATTCTATTAGTTTTATTTGCACAGCTTATTCAGTCTTAATTAAAAAACATCCGAAGTACAAACCACTTGATGGCAAAAAAACACATTTAAGTGATGTTTAATATTTACTAAACATTGTCCTTTTTATCAGTATATTCAATATTAAGTGAAACGTATACTTTACACTGAAAAGTATACTCTACAAAAAAAAAGACATCAACTACATTGTGTGAATACATACCATTTTCGATGTTATTGTATACTTATGGTGATAGACCGATACACATTATTTAGAAGGTAAAATGAAAACCAATAGAATATATAAAACCCATGCTTTAAGGTTCATAATCAAACTCATGTTTAACAGAGCAGTATATTGCTCTAGGCTGTAATCTCCAGAACGTCTACTTGAATACTTTAATGCCCAGAACCATGAAATCTAGTGATTCAAACAATATATTAAACTACAATCTGCAGTTCTGACTTGTGCTGCTAACAAACCGCTACAAACTATAAACATGTAGGAGAGTGGCTAAAACATAACGTGAAAGCGCAGTATGTTTATGGAAGAAAACAAAGGCAGAGCAGAGATCCCTATAGATGAGAAAGGTTTGGTTGAAGAATAGGGGGAAAAAGCAGCATAGTAAATGCTTGAGTACATACGCTAAGGGTGGTAAATGGTAGGTCCCCAGATTTTGTAGAATTGCAACTTTTGTAAATGTTTGAAATTCTAAAAGTTTGCAACACATCATAGCAGTTTTAGTTCTACAACAACTGGAGATCTACCGCTTGCCCAACCCTGACATACATTTAAAAGAACAGTCCGGCCCCTCTTCATAGTTTCTAATTTCGCATTAGAGTCATCCATTTGGTACGTCTGTGGACAGTATTAATTGGCCGGACTTGTTTACAAGCTGACACTTTTCAGCAATTAAATTCTGTCTAATGTAGGACAATATTTATCTCGCTAAAGGGAACTTAAATCAATATCAGTAAAAAGGGGTCTGATTGCAGGGACCCAGGTAAGTGTCAACTTATTCAAAACCGGTTTCACTATTCATAGAGCCCAGGGAATCTTAGCGATTGCTTGGAGTATCCGTTTACTTATATCTCCTTACAATAGAAATATTATTTGTTGTGATTAATAAACTAGCTCGGTAAAGAGCCATACTGCTTGATGGATAACCAATCAATTATTCTGTGCCAGTATGAAGTTACTGAGTAAAAATTAATGTACAGAAAAAAATTAAGCTTTGCTTTTACTATTCATTTCACACTAGAACAATGTCTACATGGGATAGATTTTCTAGAATGCCTGCTTGGTTATATATGAATGTTTGTCATGTAATTTTCCCTGGGGGATCAGTTAGAACAAATCGTGATTTTTCATCAGTCAATCATTTTATGTTCCATTAAATGTTCATTTGTACAACACTTCCCTTTAGATTTCTACCAAATCATACTACATACAAAATCCAGGTCCCTCACTCATCCACTAAACGGCAATTTCAAAACGCCTCACGTAGGGAGAAAATAATGGGGATTTAGTTAGTTTATGATCATACATTGCATAAACCTGCCATAACGTTAATGTACCCCATTCTTGGCAGGTTATAGTCTAGACACATAATGTCTGCTCTTAATAGATTAATCCACTTACTTGGCAAATGCTTCCTCCTGAGATTCTCTGCAGTGTAAGGAGAAACGGGCCCTTCAAGGAGGCACCTGTGACCTGGAAAAAATATATTTAAAAATACTTAAAGCAACGTTCCAGTGTAAAGGATCCTAAACAAGTGCCTCTCTGATGTTGTTCAAACAAGGCATGCAGGATTGAAATAATTTTTTAGTTTTTGAGAATTTATGCTGGCATTAGCTGAGAAATTGGAAATTAAATCAACCAATCAGAGTGCTCTAAGCCTAATTGCAGGGCGTGGGAAGACTTTATAAGCCTTTCCCCACCCTGCGGAGGTCAGTCTGTACCATGCGCTCCAGGGTTGAAGATGGATTACTTTTTTAGCGGTGGGTATTTTTTTTTTGTCTTTTTCTTTATTTTTTTGTGCTCTGGTTTTTTATTTTATTTTTCAAAGTTCGATGGGTATTATGGATTTTTATTTGGCTTTTTTGGGGGCTGAAAAAAAAGATTTTAGAAAGACATCTAATCTTTTTATTTACAAGGATTTAGTTCATTGTTCCCCCCTCACTATTTCTAGGATTGGGGGGGTAGGTAGGTCTTTATTTAAAAAAATGTGGGTGGGGGGTGACTAGGGGCTTGGGTCACTTGGGTGAACAAAGTACCAAATGTCATCCTAACATGAATGAACAAACTGTTCTCAATCTGTTAGGATGAAATTCAGTGGTTTCGCCAGTGTTCTGTCTAAATGACAAGACGTTCGGGAATACTGACAGGAAGCATCGCAAAATCACAGAGGAAAGGTAAGAATTGTGGGAAAATTGCTCTGACCACCGGAAACGGAGCACACTTTGTTCCTCCGCTGGTCAAAGCTGGTCAAGCGTAGGAAACCTCCATAAGACAAGTAGTATCTACTCTGTCTTATGTTTTAAAGAAAACTAGAGCCGACAGGATGAAATGAAGAACAGATCCTGACAGAGGAAGAGAAGAGGAGTCCATTAAAGAAAGGTAAGTTCGGCATGACAGTGCCGCTTTAAACTGACCCTTTAATGTCAACAGAGTTTGTTTTTGAATCCATGAATTTAATGGGACACTGTAGGCACCCAGACGACTTCAGCTCATTGAAGTGGTCTGGGTGCATGGTCCCAGGTCTCTTAAACCTGCAAAGCTAATTATTACAGTTTTTAATAAACTGCAATAATTATCTTTGAGGGTTAACTCCACCTCCAGTGGCTGTCCTACCAGACAGCCACTAGATGGACTTCTGGGTCGTTAGGCGACATTTGGTCACCTAACTGACACTGGACTTCCTCACGCTATGCATGAGGATATTCAGCGTCATGTAAACCCCCATAGGAAAGCATTATACATGCTTTCCTATGAGGAAAATACTAATGCGAGTGCGGCCATTGATGTCCATTAAGTCTCCCCCTGCTCGGCTGGGGACTTCGTTTTCCTGGCACTATAGTTTCCCTTTAACTTCCACTCCCAAGCATTTCTTATTAGCCGTGACAGTCCCTATTTTGGGCTCAAATCACTCTGTCCCTCTTTTTAATCTTTACTGCCTAAATACAAAATAAGTCAAAATCACTGTTTAGTAGATGTACCTTAAATGAAAACGTGCATGCATTTAATTATGCATTTTTTACATTGAAGTATATTTAAAAACAGCTTGCAAATGTTTGTGGGCCCCACAGTGGTGCCCATGCGTAAAGACGACCCTGCTTTGCAATCCCTCCCCTTCTAATCCTGCCCAGATTTAATGTGGCTGTTCAAGCACAGACTTCTTCATTGCAGCTCAGTGAGACGTTTTTGCAAGGCAGGTGTTCTAAGCTATTTCTGCCTCTTGTGTTTAGCTCCACTGAGCTAAACAAACCAGGAAGTAACAGGACCTGTTGTCTGCTTGAAAGCCAAGGGGGTGTAATCTGTCAATTTATATTTAAACCTGCAATTTTTTCAAAATTAAATAAAGAGGACACACTCTTCACACATAAAGCACTCCAGCAAGTTAAAGTGCTTTAGGGGTCTGGCGTATCTCTTTAATGTAGATTTTCTAGAACCTTAAAATGTTTGGTGTGTGTGAGTGAATAACAGCATGTCTCAGCATTAGAATTCACAGCAGTACAAAGGCATTCACCATACACAACGGCACCCGCCAGGGGTGTCCCCTGTCGCCGCTGCTCTTCGTCCTGGCCCTAGAGCCGTTTCTCCACGCGGTAAGGCACAATCCAGACATCCAGGAGGTGGAATTGGGCGGCACACACCATAAGGTCGCGGCTTATGCCGACGACCTGCTATTCTTCGTCACAAATCCCGAAATCTCACTCCCGAACATAATCAAAGCCTTCAGAGACTACGGCATCCTGTCCAACATGAAAATAAATTTCAAAAAGTCATACATACTTAACATCTCAGTGCCCCGGCATAGGGAGGGCATACTCCGCCAAAGCCACCCGTTCCAGTGGGCAGACACCAAAGTTAGATACCTGGGCATTTGGCTCACTAAACACAGCAC